ACGAAAGTAATCCGATTATAGCTTGCTATCATAATACTTCGATTATTGATATTCATAAAATTTATATTTACAAAAATCTCTAATCTCTTTTATACCTATTTTCTTTGTAAGATTAATAAATTATTCTATTATTACTCAGCCATTATATTAAAATCATTAATCACAATAACTAATAATACAATCGATTCAGCCACACTTCCAATATTATTATTATATTTAGACTTATACTCCACAGAATTGTTTTTATAAGATCCTATCATATTGATGAATAATAAATAAATAATAAGTGAAATACTTAAATATAACTTTATCAAAATCCAATAAAGTTATACTTATTCATTAGAAGATAGTGCTTAGCTTGAGCTGATAACTACTGGTTTGTATTCTTCAATACACATTGCTTTGAAGAATAAAATATAAATTAAAATTAATTATAAGGGTTATTACTATATTACTAATTAAACTTGATTTATGAATATTAAATTATATTGAATTAATACTGAATATAAGAACTACCACTACATTACTAACAATCCTTATTTATACAAAAACAAATATCAAACCATATTACTTTGATATAAGAGCTTATACCTTTTAGAAAAATATCAATCTTAGTTACAAACTTATATTACATTTGAAATTAAAGTGCCAGACTCCTGATCTATAATATCACTAATTAGTATTGATATCACCATAGAGATAGTGAAATAATATAGTACTAATAATTTATATTATTATAATATTGCTTGAGGTTCTAAAAGCTAAAGGCTACGAACGTATATGCTATAGTGCGGGGGCGCTAGTGCATGCGCTAGCGCGGTCAGTCACATGATCCCTATCCCAACACTATGCAGTATACCCTTTTCGATTAAAATAAGCAGATCGATCTTCGAAAGATACTATTGCTGGAATAAAGATACCATTAAGAGCTTCTAGACAATTTACAAAATATATATAATATTTTTCATCTTCTACTACTCGAAAAAAAAACGAATTGTATAATTGGATTCGGTAGTTTTATTACTAATAGATATAATATTATTATAGTATCTAAAACTTGATAAAACCATTTTAAAGTATATTAGAATAAACCAATAAGTAGATTTATATAAAGTGTTTTTTGTAACTATAGATTGTTTCTTTAAAATAAAAAAAGGCTTTAGCTATACTATATATAATTCCATGCTGGTTTACGATATAGAGAAATACATATAGTTTTTGATCAATTAAAGCATATTGAAAGTGTTATAGCTTTGTTTTTTCGTGACAAAACTCAATCAAAAGTCAAAAAGTATGTAGAGGTATATACAATTATTCTTGACAATATTGAGGATATTTAGAATCAAGAAGAGATTGTATTTTAAATTCACCAGAAATACTAGTTCTTTTTTTCGAAATTGGAGTACAATAAAAAGAGCTAATAACAATAGCTAAATTATAAATCAAGATAGGAATAAACTGTTCAGAATTATTAATCTCATTATCATTTATTGTGAATAAGAAAAAGATAGTTTACAATCTAAATCATTAATAGAATCTAAAGCTATAATAAAAAGAATATTGAAGAATCTACTTTTAAACTAAACTATATATATTTTAGTATGTGGGGAATAGAAATATAAAGTAATCTAAATCGAAATCAAAAATGATTTAAAGAAAAATAAAGATACTCTATAAACTTAGGTATTTGAAATATTAATATTATTATAATACTATATGAATATAAGATGAAAGACCTATAAAAGCCTATAAAAAACACGGATTATTTATCAGATTAAAAATGAGGACTGTTTTTTTTAATTCTTGTTTTCAATCTACATCCTTGTTTTTCTATACAAATTTGATGAAAAACACAGATTATTTAATATCATTTTAGAGTAATCCATCTCCTTCCCACCTCGAAATATACTAAATTCATTGAAATACGAATTATTTGATAGAATCCGCGATTTGATATTCAAATATAAATTCAAAATCCGCTTTTAAAAAGAACGGAATATTCAGTGGATCCAGCGTGGATTTGTATATCCAAACTAGCCCTTAGCTACTAGAAAGGTTGGCGCTCTCGCACCAGATTGTATATTTGATAATATAATTCTTTCAATGAAAAGCTTCCGCTTATAATTAGAGAATGAATGTCTGCTTCATCTATGATCAATATCGAGTTATCGATTACCCAATTATCACATATGAGAGATATTGCGACTCTCTGCTATGAGAGTTGCTAGGCGAAACTCCGCATGTTAGCAAAAATTCCCAAGATCTAGGGTTGATCACTTCTCACATTTTTAGAAATGTTCCAGCTAATTCAAGCCCAACTATATGCTTAGTGGCAACGACTGACAGATAAATGAGGTTGCAAAGTGTATGAGATTGAAGTCGAAGCTGCGACTAAAAGATGTAAGATCTGTCCTGGTTTAGTCCGACTTGGCGTAAGAGGCTGCATGTACGTATTTTTTCTAGGCACCAACATATGTTCTTTGTGTAACACTATGCAGAAATGAAACAGAAACGGGCAAGTTTGTTAAGCCTTCTTATTTTTCGCTGTAAATAACTCCAGCCTCAGAGTCTGGGAATGTTCGCATGGAAGGATTGTCAAACGAGCTGCGAAAGCCTACTGCACAATGGCGACACACAACAAATCACGATACTTCGTGAGGGAGAAGACACTTCTACATCCTGGCTCTGCAATTCGATCTTTCAATCTTGACATCATAATAAGTGCGGGATAGAGGGGATGGTATGTTTTGGTATGCAAGGGCGGATCGTCGCTGCGGCTAGAGATGACGAACTCAGTCTATCATGTAAATATACGCAGATGACACGAAAAGTTGAAATCGACAATTTACGGCTACACATGATTTACATAACAGCAGTGGATCTGCCAAAGATATTTATTTATTTATTTATTTATAGTGATTAGCATCTATTATCTAATCTCCCAAAGGATATTCTAAACATACTAAAGAGCGGGCCTACAGGCCACTAGCGTTCCAGCTGCTCATAGTAATATAATGTTAGCTAATCAGGAGCTTGTTGCCTCTAGTATTCCCCCGCTCAATACTGCTTATAGCGATTCTGCAGTTGTTCTATCTAAGGGTTTGTGATCCTGTTTCAGAGAGCCTTGTTTCGTATGCTATCCGGGTGTTGGCGGATGATCAGGTCGATCGCTGTCGATCGGGAGAGCGCTTGGAGCGCTTATAGCTGTTCGGTGCGGGTCTTAGGTTGATTAGAGTGAAAAGCTTATCCTCAAAGTATTGGAGTAGGTTGGAATTCGTATAGTTTCACATAGTTTGAATATATCCTAGTATAGAATCTAGATCTAACGAGAAGGTTAGTAAAGCTATATTGTGTTTGCAGGATGTGGTTGATATATACTATTGTGTCCTATTCGGATCGAAATCGATTTGGTATAAGCGGCCAGTCGCTGTGTATCTGATTATTGATTGAATATTGAAAGAAATGCAATATACTTTTCTCAATCCCATATATACAGATATTCGTACTATTTTCGTGATTGAATTTGATATGATAGGCTGCAAAGTTACCATGTTTGGTTCGCATCGCTATAAGTCTGTATAGTATTCTGCGAGGGAGCTTGAGGCTTTCCGGTTCCGAGATATCATATACCGGTTTCCATGCATTGTACGTTTCGGAGATCAGGCCCCTTTTTTCCTTCTACTATCTGCTTTTGGAGCGCTGATATTTGGTATATAGGACAGAGCGGGAGCTGCTGACTGTGGGGAGGCAGGATGGGCCAGGGTCAAGCGGCCCAGCCGTGCCCTGATCATCTACCAAAGATATATGTCATCCATACTGGATATATGTTGCAGAAGCCTCTAACATATTGTGGCTGGAATTACTTGGCTAGTGTTTTTCACTTAATGTATACAACTCGAATCTTACGAATCGCTTGTACAATCAGAAAGCACTGTTCAATCCAAGAAAGCGAGGTTTGAAACTGGGACTTTCATAAAATCATCTAACACTCGTTCCAAATAATCTTCTTCTCAAAGTGAGACACCCAATAACTCGACAAGTGGCTCGAACCATTACTTCACCGATAATGAAGGGCTATAAGGATAAGCGATAGGAACAGGAAGGCTGTGAATCTTCACCGTTCATTTCGGACTACTGATCTGACTTTTCTTTACACAATTGATGACTTTTTCAACTATATGCATCTAATTGGCCGTCCTTGGGCATTATAGCCAATCACCCCAAAGGGAATACTTCCCGACAATTAACTGAATCTGAAATGACGTGTATTCCTTCTCTATCCTTGCAGTGTGATCTAGAAGTACAAACTTCTTATCAGTTTTTTGGAATGGAAGAATCCATTCTTCAGTTGCACAATCTTGTCGTACACAAGTATGTGGCTGTGCAGCCTGCTGGTGCATGTATTTTTCGACATTCTTGATATCCGAACAAAAATATTCATTTATTCAGAGCCTTATTACCACCGTATAGATCGATCCAGCTATGGATACCGTAGGCGGTGCTTAAGCCTACCACAATTAATCATCATGCACTTACGTTTTACAGCAGATACTGTCGGTGTCTGTGATAAAACCAATGCACTCAGTTAATGGATTGTCCTAAATGTAGCGATTGATGGCATTAGATTATGGCTAGTCGCCAGAACTGAAAGTTGATATAACGTGGGACTGAGCAGTGATTCGCTTAGATGCACCTAGTCCCTTGAACGAATGCTCCAGAAAGCAGTTTCTCTGATGAATGGAGGCTTTGTTTACACAGCATAGGTGTGGATGTGGTCTGCACAGCCCCGGGACAGTCTAGGTCACGACGACTGCGATTGTTTGTGCTCGCCACGTGGATGTACGCCTACATCGATTCTGATTAAAGCATCCCGATCTTTAACTCAATCAAGGCCGTATTTAGAAAGTATCTATTGCTGCTGGGTAATAAATACTCATCCATCGCCGATGCAGTTGAAGCAATACTCATATGATTGCACAAGGATGCTTATCTTCGAATCAATGGGGTTAACTCATACTTGCTGCAAACCTGAGAATTTCTGCGACTCCTGGAGGAGAAATAGATATCTTCTTCGAGCAAGCTATCAGCACCATGAATACAAACTTGAGGAAGCTTTGGAAATGCTCGAACAATGCTATCAAGCGTATCGTGGCCCTATGGAGATGTTTCCGTTTAATTTATTGGATTTTTTACTCGGCGACCCTTCGCAAGGATCTCAAGATAATTACGGCATGGTGAATTGGCAGCAAAAGGATCAGTCATCAGGGATTGAAGATGCTGAAGAACTTACTGAACAAGAAGAGCTTACTGGGGAAGGAGGAGAAGTTGCGGAAGAAGTGATAGACAACGAGCAGAATGACTGTCGGGGAAAAGAAAGAGACTCATCACTACTAGTGCAAAGTATCTATTTGAGAATATCCTATCGGGAAGCTTGATGTTTTTTTATCTAATGCATGAAGTGTATCAGAATAGCTAAATACTTTGTATTTGCTAGCAACTGCGAGAGGGGTTTGTGGTATCGAAATTGTGTAGTTTTAGTATAAGTACACAAAGACTTGGAATATATTTTGCAGCAAGCCAATGACTACCACATACGACCATAGACTGAAGAGAATTGGGCATCCCGTCCGCTCTGCCATACACAAGCTTCAGATCGGTGGATTAGTAGTTGGGTGGGTGACCACCAGCGAATCCCCACTGTTGTATGTTTTGGAATCTTTTTGTCCACTTCTCCGACGGTTCAAGAAGCATTCGAGAAAATATCCATTTGCCATATTTCCGAATACAGGTTGAGATGAGTGCATTAGCTTACAGATGAACTTGCTGTCCAAGCTCTGTATCAACTCTTCTTTTGCCTTACGATGAGTAATTGGGAGGATTGCTCTATCTTCGGAGTTCGGATGCTCGCTCTGAAGTTGAACCAATGAAAATCCAAGCAAAAAGCATCGTGTGCTTCTTATAGAGGCCCTGCTTTCTTCTATCATGATTGGATAAGAACTGTCCGTTGAAAAGTTCATGCAAATTCAAAGAGACAATCCACATCACTTAGCGCGGTGAAGTCGTGTCATCAATTTTCATAGTCGACATGCGTGGCCGCACGCCAATGCAGCTTGGCAGGGATAATCATGAGCGGTTGTGCCACCAACGAACCGAGTGGGGAAATATGCATGACCGATGGATACACGTCTACCAACCGAGATCCTCAAATCAACCTGGGGCTACATTTGCGAGACTCTACCTGATTTTGTTTCAAATAGCATGCAAGGCAACTTGCTTGCTGGAAAATCAATAAGGAGAGGAGTTCGTACTTGACAACACTACGCACGCTAAAATCTAACGAGTATTCAGCTCGTAACCTTGTACGCTCTGAATAGCTTGGAGAGTTTGAACTTTGTCTGTCGTAGTTCGACGGTCTACCTGGTTCGTTCTTAATTGTGACAATCAAAACGGCCATTGGGCCAAGTATTCCATGTAGGTCAAAATGTTATCGGAACAATTGGGTTGGAGAGCAAGTGCCTCAACGCACACCTATATATGAAGTCTTTCTTTCCCTGATGTTTTCTCCGGTTTGCTATCGTTGTCATTCACCCTTCTATTTTCAATAATCACGTCTTTTTTCTTTTCTCGTTTTCTGATTTAGCCGCATTCATCATGAAGATGATAGAACTTCAAACATCAGCCTCTACGGCTTCAATTCCTCGCAGGACGAGGAATGAAAAAGTAGACAGAAATGGCATTACTTGTTACGATGAAGAAATCACTAGGATCGTTGACTACACATACGGCTATGAGATTACATCTCCTTTAGCATGGACTCGCGCAACTTCAGCTTTACTTGATGCTATTGGAGCTGGTCTCGAAAGCATTGCCACAAGCACCGAACTCTCTCAATTGGTTGGGCCTACCTTCCCTTCTCCAGACACCATTCCCAATGGATTTAAACTACCCGGAACAAATTATCAACTTGATATAGCGAAGGGTGCTTTTGATATGGGAGCCATGATTCGATACCTCAACCATAATGATGCATTCTTAGGCGCTGAGTGGACGCATCCCTCTGGTATGATTACCAACACTCCTTCCCTCATCGTCCAAATGGATTATTGACAATATCTCATAGACAATCTCGGAGCTATTTTATCAACAGCCGACGTTCTCTCACGCGTAGCCACTTCCAAAGACGATCAAGATTCCATCCTCACCATGCGTCATGTACTTATCGCTCTAATCAAGGCCTACGAAATTCAGGGCTGTTTTCAAGGCAAGAATGCTTTCAACAGAGCTGGTCTAGATGACGTCATCCTTGTCAAAGTAGCTTCCACAGCTGTCGTGTCCTGGCTCATGGATCTCCCAAAAGAGCAAGCCAAAGCCGCTGTCTCTCATGCGTGGATTGATGGTAACCCTCTCCGTGCATATCGTCAAGCACCCAATATTGGCCCAAGAAAGAACTGGGCGGCAGGTGATGCTTGCATGCGAGCTGTACAAATGGCACTCATGGCGAAGACCGGACAAGCAGGTGTGAAAACTGCTTTGAGTGCTCCACGGTCTGGATTTTACGATGTTCTCTTCAGAGGCAATACGTTTGAGCTTCCCCGACCATTTGGTACCTCCGTTGTTGAAAACGTATTTTTCAAAATCTATACAACTGAAAGCCACGGCATGACTGCACTCGAGGCCGCCCTTTTAATCTGCGAAGAATTGAAAGAAAAAGAAGTATCCACGAGCGATATCAAAAGTATTCAAGTTCGGACCCAAGAAGCAGCGATGGTTATTATGAATAAACAAGGAGCGCTTCAAACACCTTCAGATCGTGATCACAGTCTTGGATATATGATTGCCATTACTCTTCTCAAAAATTCTCTGCCCGAGACTGAAGATTACCAAAACACCAGTACCTGGTCAAAAGATCCTCGAGTGGAAGAATTGAGAGACAAAATCGCCATCAAGGAAGATCCAGAATTTACAAAAGATTACCACAATCAAGATCTTCGCAGTCTAGCCAACGCAATAAAGGTTACTCTAAACGACGATACCGAATTGGAGGAGATAGTCATCCACTTCCCTCAAGGCCATGCGAGAAGGAAAGAAAGTTTAGAGTTAATAGAAAAGAAAGCAAGGAAGAACTTCGCATTGAAACTGAGCGAGGAGAGAATCGATACGATTATAGAAAAAACCAAAAGCATGGAGTTTTTTGGTATGTCGGTTTGCGAGTTCATGGATCTGTTTGTACCAAACAAGGAATGAGAAATTTGCGGTGGGGATTTGCTGAATGGTTATGTTTGGTTCATGGATCGGTTTCTTGGGATGGCGAGATGGCAATTATATTTGGTTTCTGGGTTTGTGTAGATAGTATATGCAGGTCGTGCTGGCTATCCAAATAGAATAATAACATGTTTTTCCCTCATGGTTGTTTGAGAGCAAGGTGTGCGGTCAATCTTGTGGGGAGTGGACTTAGTAAGATTTGCCTATGTGTGACCAGACCATCATGTGTCGATCGGTAGTCGAGCATGGATAGTTCCGCACCCTCGCGATTGCTCTTCATGCTCCAAGATTGATGCTCTAGATGGCATAAACCACACACCAAGCTGAATTCTCAAATATGAATTTGAACATCTTAATGGTTTGGAGCATTCAAAGCGTTTGATTTTCAAATTCGAATTAGAGCATTAATCATGATTTGGTGTGCAACCTATTACGAGCCTTTCTGCCATATACTTCAACATGGAAACAAAATTTGGGACAATGTCCATGTCATTCACATTGAGTTCCAAAAAAAAAAAAACATCATAACATGCGAAACAATTCGACGGGATAAGGAATCTCTATGTGAATTTTTGTGGATCAAACGTATATATTATTTATACTTCATAATGCTAGAGCTCCATTGCTGTCATTCATGGCGAGCTTTGCAGTTTCAGTAGAGAATTGTAACACATTTACCACAGCGAGTGCACATGGAATTTCACAATTTTGCCTCAGAAGTCTCGAGGCAAATCGATGACGAGCCAAGCCTTGATGAGTTCGAGTGACTTGCCATTCTAATTTTCAAATCCCCGCCCCAATAGGTCACGACCTATGGCCAATTTACCGGACAGATCACTGGGTTGCGGAGTGGGAAAGATGCTTCTCGAAATGTTTTTAAGGATTTCTGCGATGCTGAAATTTTCTTTTACGAACACGATCTGTGCATGTCTATCTTCATTTCTGCTTTCCACATATCATGAGACAGTGCAGACAAAAACATTGCTCACTTTGCCTCGTGAAACTTCCGGTCTATTGATAGGTCTCCTCCACCAAATCTGGCAAAGAGACTCGATATATGACCCGACAGCCGACCACACCCAGCGAGAAAACTTCTCTTCCCCGTGTTTGCCATTGAATGAAAACAGATTTCGATCCTGTCGATAAATCGCTTCTTCCTTGATACATGTCGTCGCAACGAAACTATAGCTAGGATCAAGGTTTCCGCAATCTGTAGACCTATTTTTGGACCTGAATTGGGCAGCAACAATTCTCATATCTCTTAATGATCATACTGGTCACCGCCTTACCGCCACATGACTCAATATCATAGTATCATGAATGTATGGAATTTGAATTTAGGTGCTTTAAAATACAAACATTGTCCATATAGTGATTGCTGTTGTCTATATTAGCTTGTATAACTGCCTCACAGCATTGATGAAGAAACAAGCATCGCAACCTGACTTCTTTTCTTATCAATTTTAATTGAAATTTTGCAAATTCAAAGGGGAAAGTTCATTATCATAATACAATGCCTTCCGGAGAAAGGAGACCACGTCTTGATGGTTGGGGTCAGTCCCCTTGAGATTATCTTCTCTACGTAATTGCTAATCATCAGACTTAGGGAGGTTCAAAGTAACTTTTATTACATTTGCATTATATGCTTTAGGATTTCCCATCTTGTTATTCCACAGTACGTTTTCTATGCTAAATGTCAGAAGCATTCTAACGTGATTTTTCTAGTTCTGCTACTGATTGGCTGTGCAACCAACTCACCCGGTATGGACAACATCTACGTTGCCTCACTATCTAACGGAGTTAAATTCTCCTACACCTGTAAGGCACCCACTCGCCCCCCTACTCGTAGCACTATTAACAATCCCCAGCCCTCTGCGCCCCCACCACCACCGGCCGCATCTGTACTCCCTCTGTCGGAAAATCTCCCCTCATTCTCACCACCCTCTACAACTTCACTACTCCCCACTCAACCCTCCAATACGCACTCGATCTGCAAAGAAGCATATCCTTCGTCATCCCCGCAATGTCCGCTCTCCTCTTCCTCCTCGCACTCCTCGCCCTCTTTTTCGCCCGTGGAATCATCAAAAGAAACGGAAACAATTCTCCCTCCCACATCTTTACCATCACACTGCTCTTCTGGTGTTCCGCTGCTGTAGCTTTCGCCGCTGCGTATTCGCTCACCTCATCCGGCGCAGCATTAGCTGTCCATTCCCCATCTTCCCTTTCGGCCTCAAATTCAAGCGGAGAAGTTACAGAGATGAATATCAAGCCCGGAAAAGTAATGTTAGCACTTCAATGGATAACATGGGTTTTTAGTACCGTGGCCGCGATGATGAGCGGGAGTATTACGAAAACGCTCTTAGAGCGATCGTCGTCGGAGAGGAGAAATAGTAGAAGTGTGAGTCCGTATGCTAGAGGGCCGAGTATGAGGAGGGCTAATAGATCTTTGGTTCCTCCATATAGTAGAGATCCTTTGCCGAGATCAGGGAGCCCGGTTTCGCCTATTTGAAGGGAGCGGGAGTAGCGATCGGGATTTTAGGATAGGTTTTTTTTTTTAGCATGGAATGGGATGGGATGGGATAGGATGGGATGGGGCGACAGACCCTGGTTGGTTGATTCTTTTCAGGCATGGATATTGTTATGTGCAATTCTCTCATTGCAGCGCTATAAAGGTGTTTCGTTGGTATTATTTAGTAGATCATTAAAGATTAGATTCTCGGCAGTAGTACATAAAAATTAAAGCTGCAACAGTACAGATTCGTTCAGATTCTTCACTACTACATAATCAAAAGAGAATAACAACAAATATACAAGTTCTCAAAGAGATAGCAACAATTTTAACGTCCTCACTCATTCTTGGATTCGTTTTCCGTTACCTACTTCCTAGCCCTCTTCTTTACACTCCCACCCCTCGGCTTCAGAGCGTCAAAATTTCCCCCTCCTCTGCCCCTGCCCTGCGACTCAATCTCGACCTCCCTTTGTAACTTTTACCCTCCGCCTCCTCCGTCACTCTATCACTCAACCTGTTCCTTCCCGGAACCCAATAATCTTTTTCCGTAACCTCCAACGCCGCATTCGGCTCTCTTCCCTGTTCCAAATCAATCTTGGCCCGAATCTGTTTAATTCCCATCTCCGGATCCTGTGTGAAATTCAAATAGGCCAGCGTTCCCAACGTCTGATCCAAATGATCTACCTCCCCATCCACGAATTGCGTCGCCCCAACCGCATCAACTTGTGTCCATTTTTGCACGACAGTTTTACAATTTTTAGGAAGCATGATGCGCATGGGACTGCGGTACCAGCGAGGGAAATAAATAAACCCAAGCATGATTCTATTTTGATCTGACAGATTGGGCATACCGGCATGCCAGAGACGGAGATCTCGAATGGCGATGGAACCTTTAGGCATGGTGAGTTGGAAGGGAGGAGAATGCTCTGCACGACGATTGAAAGCTGATGATTTTACCCAGCCACGACCATGGCTTACTAGATTTTTCAAATTATAGTCGCGGTGAGAGCCGGGCCAGATTTCGGTGGAGCCATTTGTGGGTGATACGTCGTGGAGGTACATGAAAAGCTCGATGCAGGTGGGAAATTGGTGATGGTCGTGGTAAGAATCGACATGTACAGCTTGACGAGATGTTGGATCTGCAGCTGGGAGGTTGATATTACTTCCTGCATATGCTAGTTGTGGTTTCCCAAATACAGCCTCCATTACTGCTGAAGCGTGTTTGTTGGCCCATATATCTTCGGCAAGCCACTCTTTGGATAGAGGGGGACATATGGAGAAATTGGTTTTCTCGTTGCCATGATTGAAAAAGACTTTCGGATCTTCCAACCTTTTGGCACCATCGGTATTCATCTTCTCGTAGAACTTATCGAGAATATCATGAGGAATGGCATTCTCAAATATGACAATTCCATTTGTATGAAATTCTTCCACTCCAGCTTGTATGTTTTCTAAACTGGTAATTCCAGATGCGAGTTCTTCGTCAGATAAAATGACATGTTTGCAAGGGGCTCTCTTTGGTGGCATGTTGAAATCTTTGGGACAGTTTGAGTGTTTGCAAAGTGGAAGTATGTATAATCGAAACAACAAGAAATTAAGGTTAATGATGTTATATTCATCCCATTGCGGAACTTTATATATATACTCGGGACTTGAGCATCGAACAAGGAAGCCTCAAACTTCAAAGAACATGCATAGTACAACAGCGAAAAATAATAGTTCCTAACGCCTCGCCATTCCATTCAAAGATTGAAGCGAGATCACAATAACAAAGAAACCAAGACTTATGAGCATGGAGAATCTCTGATTCCGAATTGGGCCAGAAACGAGACAAAGATACTAGAGAGTTATCGGTACCAAGCACTTGCCGAATGAGACGGCTCTCACAAGTGTCTCGTGAGCGTCAAATAAAGCACAACAGTAAAGAATTTGTAAAAAAAAAACTGTAAAGAAACCACTAACATACACTGTCTTACATCTTTCGAAATGTATGAAACTTGAGACTCTTTTATTATCTTCGAATCATAAAGAGAAGGATACGTCTAAACTGCCTCAGCATATAAACACAAATAACACAAATAACTCGAAGTCTCAGATGAATGAATAAAAGGTATCAAGCCTGACTGAAAGATTGATATTACCATTGGATATTTGTTGACCAAAATTTAGCCTTTGCTTTGTGTGCGAGTCTTTCCATTTCCATTTCCATCGCACTAGTTCTACCTGTGCCTCGAGGAGAAAGAAATAGCCAAAATTTATTTGTCCGCTACAAAATAGATATACAAAAAAGAAAATGCAGGAAATGAGAATATTCATCCCATTTTTAATGCCACATACAAATAGCATAAGCACTTAAATTCTGTTAGCAAATCGGTACCCTTCGAGTAGAAGCAAAGTGCATTTATAATCCGTAGGAGAGAGAAAGATTAAACCCCACCTCAATCAGTACACCCAATACAAAGACAGAATATAAATTTTAAATTCTCATGGCTTTCATCAATCATCGGCCGGATGGTGTAGTTGGTTATCACGTGTCCTTAACAACTCAAACCTGTTAAATTCGGACAAGGTCCTGGGATCGTGCCCCAGTCTGGTCATCGCTTTTGCTTCAATCCTTTTTTCTCCATTGAGCGGTTGCGCTGGGAAGAAAGTATATTTTTCTGTTTTTATGCGGGCGCGAATTGCAAAGAAAGTCAGTCGGGCGGCGGACAAGCGGAGTGGGCTACCTCCATACATGGCCGTAAAAAGTGGCACACCCTATCTATCTATCGGTCCACTTGTCATTATTACTAGAGAGCAGCAGCAACAAATATAATAAGCACGAATAATGAATGAATATCATTTTTGGGTATAATAAGAATGATCCGAAAAACTTCGAACATCTCTGGATAGCTTTCAGTCTTCTTTTTTTTCTTCTTAATATCGAAGGAATATTGAAAAAAAGAGTACTTCGCACAGAAACCTAGCCATGTATGTTTTGAACAACCCGTTCAATCTGTGTTCATGTAGAAGGGAGGTGATGTAAGAATACATAGACATTTATGCGGTTCACGATCATTGGTCAAACAGACATAGAAAACAGTGAGGGGAATCCATCAATTTTGAATAACGAATGGATGTAATTTTATACTAGATATGTTTCTTTCTTTCGATTCCTAAGAAAATAGATGCAATGCTCGAGAACCTATCAGATCAATATGAATATCCATAGCTTGGTTGAATTCAGCAATAACCATTGGTTTGCAACCATTCAAGGATAACCTCCCTGTCTCTTGATTTGAGAGCTGCTCTTCCTTTGATAGTATCACCAATAATTGCTAGTGATCTATCATATCCTCTGTTGTCTTTATTTTCAAAGAACTTTTCAATTTCCTTGTTGACATTATCATCACTGAAGGTTGATAGAGAAAGTCTTATGAATCGATCGAAGACAACCATGTTAGCAGATCTGTCAAAAGTATTAGTAATGCTATTAAATAGAGAAGCTATTCAGTGTGCCATTGAGTACTCACAATCTTTCTTTAACTGGATCAAAGTTGTCTTGGATGTATTGCCAAAGCTGGTAACGTGTTTTGGTATTGGCTGCAAGAGCAGATGCACCTGTGTGTACATCTTGCGTTGCGACCTCCTTGAAAAGGAACTCGAAATAATCTGAAATGAGTTCTGGGGTTTGAACACGTCCCATTGCACGGAGAACAATTTCTTTGCCATCAATGGAAGTTGTTTCGCGGTACTCTTTCTTCAAAGCCTCATATTCTGATTTATCGCCATATCGAACGGAAAGACCATAGATGGCGCTTCTAAGACTTGGATGAATGACAGTCTTATCCTTGCCGCTTGTGTATAGATCGAAGCGACGTTTAGCTTCGGTGATAATTCTGTAACTTGTCAGTTATGAAATACTCGGGCAATAAATCCTTCTGAACTTACTCTTTATGTCCATTAAGACCAGCACTCAAGATTAATTGAGGTCTAAGTTGAGACTTAAGGAAATTTTCATCTGCAGGCTGTTCCCAACCTATCTTTTCCGCCGCCGGGGAGACCAGTTTCAGCAAGAATGCTTTCAAGCCATTGGAGACCGCATCATCGTCGGAAAACACAGATTTGATAGTACCAATTGGTCCTAGGATCTTTGACCAAACAAAGTGATTCGATTCATTAGCTAAACCTTGTACTAAAGACAAGAACGCTGGAGTTCCTGCTTGTCCTGAAATTGCGAGTGAACCCGCGTCTGCGATTAGACCTAGGAGAGTATTAGTTATCAGAATGAGATGACGAAGCATATTGGACTATAACAGTCCAGACTAAAATCCGAACCCGAAAGCCTCGAACGTCCGAATGCAGTTTGATCGTACGGACAGATTCAATCTTGAGCAAAATCCATATGCCAGTTAATTGAATAACCGAGCGTATCAAGAGATCAATTAGACGTAATGATATCTCACTGTTGGACTGAACTGCCGTTTGAACTATAAGATAATCAAAATCTTGATCTAGACTCACCAATTTTGTCAGTCAAGCTGAGGCGATCCAATTGTGAACCCAACTTGGCAAGTCTTGACGGTGGATAATTGACTCGATAAAAGCCTGCAGTATCGGTATTAATCTTGTAGAAAGAATCATCGACATCTCGAACTACATCTTCTTTTTGTTCAAACGCGATTTGCTGTGCTCCCTTGGCTCCCACCTTTCCTTGGAAATCCAAAGGCACCCACCAAGTTGTTTCATCATCTTCGGGTTTTACATCTCCAGTTGAAAGGTAACGACTTTGTTTGATGCTAATTTGACCAGGCTCTTCTTCAACCGTGAGAACAGGATAGCCAATCTTGGTGATCCATGGATCAATGATAGCCTTGACGTCTAGACCAGAAGCTTCGCTCAAAGCTGACCACAAATCTTGTGTTGTAGCATTGCCATAAGCATGTGCCTTTAAATAATCTGACACGCCCTTCAGGAAAGTCTTTTGGCCAAGATGCGTGGCTAGCATTCGAATTACCGAGCTACCTTTGAGGTAGCTGATGTGGTCGAAAATTTGGTCAACATCCAAAGCATCTTTGACAGGTACTTCAATAGGGTGCGAGCTGCGTAGGGAGTCCAATTGAAATGCAGTTTGCATACCCTCAGCCACGAACTGATCCCATACACACCAATCAGGATGGAAGTGATCTGTTGCCAACCACCCGACCCAGGTAGCGAAACCCTCGTTTAGCCAAAGTTCACTCCACCAGTCCATGGTCACTAGATTACCAAACCATTGATGGGCAAGTTCGTGCGCAACGACATAGGCAATTCTATTTTTGTATTTTGTATCAGAAGTCTTCTCGTCAAACAAGACAGCTGTTGTGCGATAGGTAACCTGTACCAGTGAGTAAATACTTCAATCACATAAAAGAATGTTAAAACTAACCAGACCCCAGTTCTCCATACTATCCGATAATTTAAAAAGTTAGCTAACGTCCTCATAAAACAGTAGGTGTGGGAAATCTAAGGGGGCTATCATACGCTCCATGGGACTAGAATGAATGGTTAGTGAAAGGGTCGATAGTAATTGGACATAGAGGCCATTGCAGATGGAAAGGCATTTTGAGACTCACAAATTCATGTACCGCAAGCAAATCGGCTTTAGGAAGTGGATAATCAATATCAAAGATTTCAGAAAACAAATCGATGACTTTGGGTGAATGATCGAGAGCATATTGTGCTTGGCTCTTTAATCCTCTGGTAGTATAGACACGGACAGGCAGTGACTTTCCGTTATACTTGCGCTTTGTGAAGTCCTCGATGTACTCGAAATCTCCCATGGCCCAAGCTAGGAGATAGGTACTCATGATTGGTGTTCTCTCGAATTCAATGAAGTGAAATCCGTCCTTAGAATTTCTTGAGCCTTTCTCAGGCATATTGCTCAAAGCAATTTGGTCCTTGGGAATTTCGATCTCGAAGTCAAAAGTGGCCTTCAAGTTAGGCTCATCAAAACATGGGAAAGCCCTGCGAGCATCAGATGACTCAAATTGAGTGCTATACATGCAATGGAACTCATCAACCTTAGGAACAGATGCGGCTGGGGTGACTTGAGGTTTGTATTTTGAATAATAAAAGCCAGCCATGTCATTGTTGACAGTTCCTTGAAATTTGATTGCTAGTATGGCATTTTCAGAAACAGAAAGCTCGTCCGGGAAACTTAAAGTTACACGTTGTTTCTTGGTATCATAAGATATCTCACTGGACTTAATAGACTGAGAAGTCTTCCCGGAAGTGAAAGAAACCTCTGCTTCATGCAACTTGAGTTGAAAAGCATTCAAAGTGATTTCCTTGGTTGGCTTGACGATTTTGATATCGATTCTGACTGTTCCTTGATAACTAAAAGCTCCTCCTAACTCGATATCGTAGATAGAGAGCGCATAGTGAGAAGGCTTGACCGAATCTGGAAGCACATCTCGGTCGGATGCTGAAGAAGCCATGATGTGAATGGTTCAACGACTGTGGTGAGATCTAGTACTAGATATCAAGAAACGGTCAAACCAGTTGACGTTGAATCGGACTTTGTAATTTGGGAATGTTCTTGAATGGTTGGGAGGACTTTGATTGGAGTTCTGGTATTTAAAGAAGAAAGAATTGGAAAGAAGGCCGAAGGAAAGCGTGGATGAAAGCACGGAGTTCAAGCACGGAGTAAATCAGAAGTAACTATGGAAATTTAGTCCGTTTGTCATAGGTGCTAAGGTTGGCAGGTGCGGGAAGGGACGATACCGCCCACTTGCCTAATTAGGTAGCTTATCCGACGAAAGCTTGGCGGAAGCTTGAAGTTTCAACCAATAAGCGACGACACATGACAAGGCTGTAGAAACTCAAACATCACATCACATCACATCACGCGAAGAGAGCATCATAGTAATTCCTTTGTACACAACCAAACTTAGCAACATAATCTTATCGCAAGCATTCTTCTTCATACGAATAATATCTGCCATTCCCGGAAGCATGGCTACAGGACAGAAACTCTATCCTCGAGCAAATCTTAAGAAGATCGTGAAAGCTCATTCCAAGCGTAATCTCACCAAAAATGTTGATGTATTGGTATGTTTTACGACGCGTTCCGGGCTAAAAGGACATTCACTGATACAATTATCACAGATCTTCCTCGATTATATGCTATTTCTCGAAACGTATGTCACGATAACGTCCATTCTGCGGAGTCAGTTATCGAGAAATATTGTCTAATTGATTCAGGTTAATGAAGGAAGCTGGTATCAATGCGAAGCAGGCTGGAGAGCGTGGCATTAGTGCCAAGAGTATCAAAAAGGTTACTGAAGTAAGTCTAACCCTCTTGCTACCCATACCTATAATAACCATATCAAACTAGCTATCGCTATCGAAATTTAAGGGATGATGCTCGAGCTTCGATACGTGGTTGTATAAATGATATAGTGAATTCGCTTTCCAAGAGGGTATGGGTCTCAAGGGCGCTTGAATCCGAAGGAGGAATACGAGATGTACCTACTTAAAAAAGATGCTACGAACAATGGATCGGACGGCAGATGGCGATGCGAAGAGTACCTAGGTACGATACCATTGGTGGTCGACAAGCATGAGGAAGAAGAAGAAGAAGAATGTATTGGACTGATGCGCGAGGCTGTGAATTTCACGGAGCTCGGGGGACAAGGCGAAGATGACCAGATGCTAGCAACTCTTTTTAGCCATACATCAATCACTTGTGGTTGGTATGATCAAACTACAATAAAATAAGAATTCAATAATGTCTAAATACAGCTCAACTTCATTTCCACAGTCCAATACCTTATAAAATTTATTAGATGCGTTGACCTTCTGCTCCTACTTCTTCTTCTGTTGGGGGCAGAAGTTATTCCACTTCCTTCTTCCACGTTCGCTAAGGCTGACAAGGTTCCGATCCAAACATCTCTTCCCATCATCTTGGAGCTCACTCACTTTTGATAATTGATACCAACACTTCCTAAAAAATCCTATCTCACAAAACTTCGTTCTTAAACCTGAAAATATCTTCTTCCTCATCTTCTTGTATTAAATACTTCGTTTTATTCATAGACGACGCATTTTAATCATTCATTCACTTACGAGCAAGCTATCTTTCTCGAGATTTCTGTATCACGAAACCAAACATCACGATCACACAACAAAACAAGTTCACAATGGCTGCTTCCGTAGTTCAAAACCCAGCTTCTAAGCCGGAATCTAAGTCTGCAAAGAAGAAGAAGGCCAAGACTGAAGCTGTCGACGGGCAAAAGCCCGCCGCACAAGCAGATGTTGCTGTTACAGAAAAGGCCTCGTCCACTAATGCTGAAGAGAACAGCAATGGAGATGGAGCATACGAGAGTCCATATATCAAGGAGCTCTACAAGTAAGATTTTTTTTCTAGGCCATCTAAGTTTATCCATCATTGGCATTCTTGTCAATCTTTGGTGGGGTTGACACAGCTAACAACTGGTGTTAGGAGCATCCGTAATGTCAACAAGAAGATCGTAAGCCAACACAATCTACATTTGATCGCCCTTAGGCAAATTGCTAATTATATATCGGATAGACCAACGCTTCAAAAGTTGACAATGTTCTCGCCGAAAACCCAGGCAAGAGCTTGGACGAATTGGTAGCTACTCGCAAGATCAATGCTGACCAAAAGGCACAAATTTTGAAGAAGCCATCCCTCCAAGCATCTTTAGCCCAGCTTGAGGAGCAAATCGCACAATATAAGAAGTTCGACCAAGAATACAAGACAAAGCTTCAGTTGGAGAAGGCCGAATTCGAAAAGACTTTCAATGAGCGTGCCAGCAAAGAACTCGAGGAGAAAGTCAAGGCTGCTAAGGATTCTGTTGCTAAGGAAAAGGCTGAAGAACAAGAGAGTAATTTGTTGCTTATCACTAAGTTTCTCTGTCTCGCTGCCTTGCGCCGAAGCCCAGAAAATGATCCAGAGCTCGATGAGAATAAGGGAATTGAAGGGCTTCTCACTCAAGTTTACAGTGGAGACGAAGCTGCTGTAGCTGCCATGACAAAGATCATCCAAGGATCTAATGAAGTCTGTTCATCCGTCAACGGCGAAGAACTTACCACAACCTGTAAGTTCACCTGTAGTTGTAATTATTACAATTCACTGATTGGTATATTAGTTGCCGACATCAAGGCCATTGCCCTTGCGCTGCCAACCACATCTGTCGCCGAACCCACCGAGCTCGCAGATGAAGAGAGAACACAAACCGAAGTCGCCGAATATCCCGTTCAAAGTGACCCAACTATCGCCAACGCCGGTTTGACTGAAATCGATGACCCCGTCACAAGTGCATTGAGCGATGGCCACCAATCACCAAGCTTCGAGGAAGCTCAAGGAATTCCCCAAAATTCAGCTTTTGGCGAAGGAGGAAATGCTGCAGCTGAGGCAAATTGGGATAACAACAACGATTTGTCTACATCGCAAGAGTGGGTCGAGGTTCCTCGTGAAGCCACTGAGACAGATGTCGGTGTTACTGCTACTCCTGCTGCCCCTTCTAACACTCAAAGCTGGGCCGATGAGCAACCTGAGAGTCCTGGTTCAGTAAGTTGATCCCGATTTGTACAATAAATGAGAGTACCCTGCTAATGACTTCGCTTCAGAAGACTCCTACCCCTCCAGTCAGCAACAATGATGGCTTCCATGAAGTCAGCCGCAACCGTGGCCGTGGAGATCATCGAGGTGGTAGAGGTGGCCGAGGTCGTGGTGGCTTCAGAGGCGATGGATACAGAGGACGCGGACGTGGTGCTCCTCGTGGTGCTCCTCGTGCCCCAAGAGGCGAGTCATCATAGATTCACCTTTCGGAAACAGCTCTATGGCCTCACAAACTGTGAAATCCTAGATGCATTAGCTCACGCAACTTGTAATATCCTGATTCTTTCATTCAACTTGTTTCTCGCGGCATGGCATCACACAAAGGCGAAATGGGTAAAGTTTTTCTTGCATTTAATATTTGCAATTGCGAAAACAGCACAATTAAGCATTTGCATGAATCTGTCATGTTCTTGATATTGGCTGGATATGGCATAGGGGTACAATACGATATGGGAGAGCGTCTCGTTTTTTTTATGGCATTACATACACAACACACATTTCCTGTACTTTGGCCAACTTGATTTTCCTTTTTGCGCGCTTTTATGCAGGCTGCTTGTTCATACCCGGGGCACACATTGAAAAGTTCGGTTGGTTTGGTCTTTGGTTCGCTGGTCTTGGTCTTTTAGGACGGTTGGACTGGGCTGGGCTGGATGAACGCAACGGATCGGATCGGATTGGGCTGGCCAAATCGAAACGATAAAAAATGGAATGATTGATACCTATGATTTGATGATGGTTGTATGAATGACGAAAAAAAAGAAAGAACCCCGATACATAATCATATGAGAGAGTGATGATAGTGATGAGTGATCTTTTGGTTGTGTATGCAGTGAGGAGTATTTTATCCAGCGTAAAGTGTTATTTGACTTTCACTTCATTTCAGTGAGAAAACTCACTCCCAATCACTTTCCTGCAATCTCACTGCGAAGCATTTCGAAACCGAGGTTCGCGGTTCATATTTGCTGCATCTTGCCAATCTCAGATCAGCACTGTGTTGTGTCTAGATCTTACTATTTCGAGCTCTACGTCGTAGTTCGGCGAATTTTCCTCACCATTGGCCTGCAGGTAGTCTTGAGGATTCTGTGGGCGAGGAGATGTGAGGTGAGGTGCTTTAATTTATGCGAGTGGGATCGATGGAATGTTAGATTGTGTGTTGGACGTGTGTTTAAGTGTTAGCTGGAAGTTTACGGTTATGTTGGTTAGGAATTTGCGAGATTTGATATAGGAGGAAGACGGGGGAGTGGGAAGTTGGAAGTTGGAAAAGGAGATTATGTGGGCGCGTGGGCGTGTGGATATGTGTCTGATATGGTGTTTGGTTGGAGGGTGTTGCTTTTGCTGTGAGGTTGCTGGATATTAGGATGATGGGATATGGGGTATGGGGTATAGAGTATGGTCTAGACAGCGTGAGGCGAGGGTTTATTTCAGTGGTTTGATCTGTGATTCATGGGTGGAGTGGGTACATTAGTGAAATGTTTAGAGTCTACGAGAAAATGTGTCGAGGTTTTTGCAAGATGCTTTTGTGTGTTGTAGGGGTTACCTTTTTATAGCAATATGTAGTTACATATTTTGTACTAGTCTTTGCAGGAAGGGTCACAAGAGGTTTCCCTCTTGTATCTGCACTATCAGCCACTGAGGCTCTAACATAATATCTGCAACGCGCGCCTCCAAAATGAATGGGATGTTATTCTCCTAGATATATACCTGCGACATTACACTGAGCTGTATGTTTATCCTGTGTTTGCGATTGTTATTGAGCGTACGGCGCAATGGCGAGATTGCGCTGCCATATATCTCATTACATCAGCATATTGATTGTTATTGGTAGCTCATCAATCATATGAGGTCACACCAAAGCACTAGAAATCGCAGCCTTATCTACATTGTAGCCGTGATGTTCGTGAATGTCAAGTAAAAATCGATCAATGGACGTGTGAGCTATTTACGAGGTGTGGGGCCAAGATAAGATTAGCCTAGCATCAGTGATAAAAAGGGTACGAACACTTGAAAATTTGAACACAATCGTCATACTTTGCAACTGTTGGATGGAACTTGCTTCATGTTGAAGTCGAGGTGGTTCTCAATTCCAATCTTGGGGGAGTCAGTCGTGATAGAGCACGAGTCAGTGTCAAGCCATATGTATGTTGCCGAGCGATTTGATTCGTGAGCTCGTCGCCCAGTTCTTGTCCACTTTCACAATTTGCACATCTAGTTGCATCTTTATTACCATGCCTCCAGTGATATCGTTGATCATACAAACAACATAGTCACATTCTCCAGCCAGATCAAATGTCCAGACCCTATTAATGTTCTAAATCAGATTGGACTTTCAAGATGACATCGATACCTCGGACCAAAATGCCCAGGGCTAGATGCCAGTAGAGTGTTTGCGAGGTTGGTATTCAAATTTTTTCGACAAACACCTGTTGGACATGTTTGAAGATCATGACTGGGCTGTGGTGATGTGATTCCAATCAGTGAGACACTATGTCTCCCCAGATTTGCCGGGATGTCATGGGGAAAACGGGTAAGATTTGCTTGGGTAGGTTAGGTGGAGATGCAAAGGTGTCACCGCTTTTAGCCACTCGGCCCTACGCCTTATGGAAGCTTAAATTTGACGAAGATGGGTTTTGGCTTGATGCAAGTTCGATGACAGAGATTTCACTAGCGCAGGGGTAATTTTCCTATCAGATACGAGTACTTATCGAGTATCTCAATCATCTCATGCCGGAACCCACGTCATATCAACTTTTCCTAATTATACGTCGTATACCATAGAATCCAGGTCGATAAGTCAATCATGACTTTAGGATTTGAGAGATGTATGTGGTATCATTCTTTGTCGCACTTGACTTGATTGATATGGACAGACTGTACACAGATGCACAAGTCAAGCTCCGAAACTGTACGGTACAAAGCAATGAGACTAGTAGGTACAGATAAACTTCTCAGCCCTATGTAATGTGATGATGAAATCCAAATCTGTATGGATAAGTTGAGATGATGATGATGCTCATCTTACAGGAAGGTGAACTGTGCACTGCATGAGACGATCCTGACCGGGATAAATCGAGATAAAACCATCAATCCTTGATAGTTATAGTAAGAAGAAGCAATCAGTGTTGAAAAAAATCACGAAGAATGGATAGAATGCAGAGCCAAAGGGGGAAAGGGGGAAATAAATGGCAAAACAATGAGCAAGAATCTTCAACAGTTGCAATACTTGGGACCTGCCGAAGTGTAGACATGTATATACTAGGTATGTGTGTGTGTGTGTATGTTATCTCCTTATCTCATACAACGGGAAGAATTTCGACATCACCATATATACTTGGATCGCAGCTGATTGTTGGTACCCCTTTCCTATCTCCTCCGATGAAGTAATTGATATCTTGGTATTTCTGTTGATGTGATGTATGTGTGGGTGCGTCTAGAAAGAATTCTGTGTCCTTTATTATGATAAAATAAAAAAAGAATTGTAATTACCGAAATTACCTAGGTAGGTAATTATAACGATAAAAATTGTCAAGAGATAAAATACATGTTTGTCAATGTATCGTAGAGATCATTGAGAAGTCTGATTGAAGTGATGGCGAAGACTGAGGTGGAAGATAAAAGTAATCTCGGTGAACCATTTTTTCTTTTATCAAAAATGCAGATCCACTGTTCTAGAAATGGGAACCGAAAGAAGATTCGCTAAAGTGGATAAAGGTTAGTTCGTATCGGCAAGTAGGAGAATCATTCGAGGGAAATCGCACCTCAATAAATCGTCCTATCTTGTTTCATTCAGTAGCCGTACGATATACATACACAATAATCCGACAATCAACTGCGAATCCGATAATTCATCTAAGACCTTATCAACGAGGATATTAAAGTTGCCTTTATTTTTAATAGGATAAAGTTGTCAATTGTTTCTTTCGACATCTGCCAAGATTCGATCCATTCTTTTCCACAGCGCGCATCATTCTTCAATCCCCCCTCCACACTTCGACGACCTTCACCTACTCTCCCAAATTCACGATTTGATAACACAACCACATCACGCATAATAAAGTCGCATGGTCGATCGCATGTGAGCCTACACGATGTCGACTGCTACCGACCAGGTAGTTGTTCCCAGTGAGGGCGAGCCATCTGCGATTCCGCAGGGTCTTGCTTCGCCACCAGAAAGCAACAACACTATCAGAACCGATCCATCAAGCGACTCAGAATTATCAGATCTCGAGTTTACAGCAGATGAGCCAATTGAACCAGAACATTGGGAAGACGATGGCAGAGTCCCTGTTTTTATGCCGACCATGCCTCAGTTCAAGGACTTTAATCTCTTCGTGAGTGAACAACCTCCTCAAAGTCCCCCTGGGGTGTATGCTAATGCGACGATGTCTAGATGGATAAAGTCAATAAATATGGTATGAAATCTGGTATTGTCAAGGTTATCCCACCACCCGAATGGAAAGCTGCCCTTCCACCGCTCGACGACGCTATAAAAACGATTAGAGTGAAGGATCCGATTAAACAAGATATCATGGGTCAGAGCGGAACATACCGACAAGCTAACATTCTCCATCAACGTTCTTACAACCTTCCACAATGGCGACAGTTGTGCGACCAAAGCGAACATCAACCTCCGGCCAAGAGAGGTGAAAGGAGAGCCAATGTTGAAAAGGTTAAAGCTACAACTAGAGCAAAGGCTTCAACACCGGGAGGAAAAAGAAAACCTGGCCGGCCGTCCAGACTTAAGACAAATGCTACTGTCGATTCAGAAGGTGGAACTCCAGATCGTTTACCGACTCCAATATCTCCGAAAACCGAAGGTGATTCATCGTCCGTCAAGCAAGAAGTAAACGAGGATGATACGCCTGTCAAACCAAAGGGGGGAAGACAGCCTAAAGCCATATCTGTTTCTTCTCGTCGTAAGAACAATCGCCGTGGTGAAGCAGGCGTAGTAGACGAAGCCGCGTTTGAGAACTTCAATTACGAGCTAGAGGGTGAAGATTACTCGGCGGAGAGGTGTGAAGAATTGGAACGACACTATTGGCGTACCCTCACATATGCCCCACCACTTTATGGAGCGGATATGATGGGATCATTGTTCGATGACAAAACGACTGAATGGAACCTTGGAAAGTTGCCTAATATACTTGATCATTTGGGCGGGCAAATTCCTGGTGTCAACACTGCATATCTTTACTTGGGCATGTGGAAAGCTACATTTGCCTGGCATTTGGAGGATGTCGACCTCTATAGTATCAACTATCTTCACTTTGGCGCACCGAAGCAATGGTACAGTATCTCTCAGGGGGATGCACGACGATTCGAAGCTGCGATGAAAAACATCTGGCCAGCTGATGCTAAAGCTTGTAGCGAATTCCTTCGTCACAAAACATTTTTGATATCACCTCAGCACTTGTTGTCAAACTATAACATCAAGGTCAACAAAATTGTTCACCGACCAGGAGAGTTTGTGATTACCTTCCCATACGGATATCATTCTGGATACAATCTCGGGTACAATTGCGCTGAGGCTGTTAACTTTGGTTTACCATCTTGGCTTGAATACGGAAAGGTGGCTAAGAAGTGCGACTGTGATCAAGCTCAAGACAGCGTTTGGATCAATGTTCGGGATTTAGAACGCAAAATGAATGGCGAAGAGACTGAATATGAAACCGACTTTGACGAGGATGAAGAAGAAGAGGAAGACGACGAAAATGAAACGACAGATCTCCCTACTCCCCCTGACAGCAGTGGCGACGCAAAGGTTAAAACTAAATCACAACGCAAGAGAAAGCGTGTCAAGAGTGAGTCGGACGAGCAGCAAAATGTGAAGAGAATTCGAATGCGCATCAAAGCACCGGTCAACGAACCTTGTGTCTTGTGTCCCAACGACATTCCCTCCGAGCCTCTACTCCCAACCGAGGATGGTAAACAGGCACATCGTATGTGTGCTCAGTACATTCCAGAAACGATCGTTGAAGAAGCGGACAAGAAAGAAGTGGTTACGGGCATCAAGGAGATTTCCAAAGCTCGATTTGACCTCAAGTGCAACTATTGCCGCTCGAAGAAAGGTGCATGCTTTCAATGCTCTAAGAAGAAGTGTACAAGAGCATATCATGCGACCTGCGCAGCAGCTGCAGGCGTCTTTGTTGAGCAAGGTGAAATTCCAGTGTTTGGAGAGGATGGTACCGAGTACAAAGAGTGGGGCATCGAATTCAGTTGTCGCTTCCATCGCATCAAACGCGATAAGAGGCTGGACAGCGATTCTCTCGAGGAAGACGACCGTATTCGTAATGGTGCCAAGGAGTTGAAGGTTGGCGAAGTCTGTCAAATGCAGTTTCACAAGGGCGACATATTTGCAGGTACCATCATCGAGAATCGGAAAGATGAAGAGACAGTGCTTGTTGATATTCTGCCTCGCGGGTTCGTAAAAACTTTTTATAGTTGTATGATGATCTTGCTAACTCTTCTTTTAGTGACCCGCGTTGAAGTCGAATATAAATGGATTCTCATCCCTGACGCGTCATTCTTTACTCTCGCCAAGCCATCCGAGAAAGCAATCCCCATGCCAAAATCTCGTATTGAGGCAGCGTCACTCAACACCACAAAACGTCAAGTAGATGATATTCCAAGAGCTGAAGATCCATTTGTCAAGGGCTTCACATGGGCAGAGTTTAATACAGAAAGTATCGCTCGCAATGCGGCACAGGTCAAATTAGATTTGAGCAAGGAGAACCAAGTTTGGTATTATCTTGGAAAGAACTCCACAGAGGCTAGGGCACAATTTACGGAAGATCTAAGGATCCAGAGACACAATCCTAAAGGTCATTTCCTTGATACAATTCCCAAACCGGCTACAGCTGCGCCACGTACATCTTATGCAGCCTCATATCCTACATCCACGAACAAAATTTCTGCAACCACAACAAAGATGCCCACAGCCAACACTTCCAATATGGGCCCGGCGGCACAGGCAATGCAGAAGATGGCTGCTACCAAACTTGTGAACCAACCGGCACCATCCTCTGGAACTTCCGCGCCTTTTGTTGCGAGGTCAGAGAAACCATATGTGTATAAGCCTCGTAAATCTGAAGATGGTTATCACAGTGGTTTGATAGATGCGCAATCATACCAATCTCAACAAGCTTTCTTGCGACAGTCAGCGGCATCTAGGCCTGTCCAAGTACCTGCAGTTGGTCTCAACTTTGGTACTGATCCCAGATTTCAAAACAACCCGGCGTCTCCTGCGCCCACTTCCACTACTCCTCCCGCAACTGGTTCTACGAATCAATCTGCGGCTGTTCCTCCGAAAGCCGCTTATACACCAAATAATAGCTATGCTCCACAAGTCAGCTATCCTCCACAAGTCAATTATGCACCACAAGTTAAATATGCTCCACCACGCCAGCCTCATCAAGCAGCTACACCGCGTCATCCCCAACCAACTGCTAGTCCACTGGCTCCACCCAATACAAATTATCGACCAACTCAGTCGTTGGCGAAAGGAAACAATCCTTTTAGTAGTAGAGCAGCTGCCCCTAAAATGGGAAACGTTTTTGCGAAGTATCTCTACTTGCAGATCGAGCATAACCGCTCACCTATGGAATATAAGAGCCCCTACAGAGAAGGTGGAGGATTCATGAATGGTTACCAAGGAAATTGGACAGAGCATCTCAAGAAGACCCTATTTGCAAAATCGGGATCATCTACAGCATCAACCCCAACCTCAATTTCTTCCTACACCGGGGGTGTTGGCAGGAAAGCATCTTATCCTACTTCTTATACCCCCCAATCTTCCCGCGGTTCCTATTCCTCCAATGGGCCCCAAATATATTCCCCGGCAACCTCATCTGCAAGACCAAGCTATTCTTCACCTTCCATACCCAGACATCAGCAAACACCAACTCAACAGGTTACGCCTAAGCCGTACGATACGAATCAATGGGAAAGGAAAGACTCGCCCTTGCACCCAGCTATTCGGAAGGAGTACAGCTCGATGTTTCACAATCACCACGTGCCGCAGCCACAAGGTCAGCAACAAAATCCTCAGCAGCAAGGTCGTCAGCAACACAACCACAAAAGTCACGGTTCTACTCAGTATCCAAATTCATCTTACCTTCCGTCTGGTGGCCAAGGCTCTCCCACGCAATCTGGATTCGCGTCTCAAGTGGCGAAAACAATCGAGTCCAAGCAAGCTCAGCAAACTGAGGAACCTCAGAAGTCCCAACAAATTCAACCTCCGCAATCTCAACCTGCGCCTCAAGTTGCACAGAAGATTGGCGATAATCCATTGTCACAGCCTCAACCGGTTGCGAAAGCTTCTCTCATTACTCCTCCCTCATATTCTCCTCCTCTCGCCCAGAGAGAACCCAGTCAGCAACCGATCGATGCCTCAAATCAGTCTCAGGTCCCACCTCAACCTCCTCAGCAGGAGGCGAAACCCATCTACCCTCATCAGCAACATTTCCAAACCCTCAACGCTTCGCAGGCACAGCCACAAACTTTTGCTCCTCCTCCGCAAACCCATGACTTACCAGACGTACCAATTGACTCAGAGTCTTTAATTGAAGACATGCTGAAGAATTTGAGAAAGGTTACAACAGGCACGACAAAGTAGGTGGATTGTATTTCGAGGAGCCTTTCCAACATGATGACATTAAAACCAAATAACCTCAAGGGGGCATAATGTGGAAGAAATTTTGGTGTGCATTGATGGGTCTAATGATGATTCTTGGGGGCGTACATAATACCAAATCCTGAGATGAGGATGAATTGTTTGGCGTTTAAGGATATTTGGGTTAAGGGGTGATGAGGTGTTTGGGTTCTCGTCCGGGTTTGTTCATGTTATAGTTCTTTCAATTCTTTCAACTTAGTTCATAAATTCTAGCAAGTTCTCGTTCGATTCAGTGTCTGCATATGGTGGACAGGTTTCCTTCTCTTATATGTGGGAATCTCAGATTAATGTTCAAAAATTATTATAATGTTTGTGAGAACTACTTGATGGCTAGGATGCATTTTTATTCTCATTCATGTTTGTTCCTAATGTACAAGGTAAATCAATCAAAACCAAAACAGAGAAAAGTATGACATAACGAAACAAACAGGCACCATTGAGTCGATTTTAGAAAGGAGATGAAAAGCATTTGAGAGGAAGGAGAATGCGATTGTACACTAGTTTACGCAGCTTATAGGAAAAGATTGATAATGATATGTGTGTTATAAATTTAATAGTTGATATTTTTAAGAATTGTCTAGATATGTAATTTGCTAAGATTTGACTTGACTTGAAGATATTTCAATAAGTAATAAGCATGAATGTGATAGCTCATTATATTAATAAATAATACTTATCAAATATTCATATATACCTAGATATATATATACCTAGGGAGACAGAAATATATTTTGATTTGCTTAATGTTTTACGTGATAATCTATTAACCGATGTACTCGTATCTGTACGAAGGTTCTAGGGGACCCTCGCTAGTAAAGTTGGCATTCATTAACAAATCGATCAATCATACTACAAAAAGTTAAGAACATAAACTAGGGACGGCACCTTTCCGTTTCTCTCAGCGTCTGGGGCGGAGTCTAGTCCGTCGATCACGCATGGACCTGGCACTTGCGTTGGCACGGGACTTCGGTACATTTCTGTCGGGGACACGTTAGTACACAAACGCTCTGAAACGTAGGGAGGATGAGTACAAGATACACTATCATGATACACATGTGCTAGTGTCGGACAGAAGGGGGAGTACGGAGCGAGGGATTCTAATGATGGGGACGGCGATAGAGGGAGAGTGTGGCTGTGAGCTAGGAGATAAGTCAATTGGAAACTTTAAAGGTAGCGAGCGCTGATAATGGATTACCTGGGTAATCAAAGCAAAGTGCGGGGAAGTGGAAATTCGAAGGCTCAATTTGTATAACCTAGGGAAAGAGCGACGTGCAAAAATAGGCAGTGGCTGATGGTGCGCGGGAAGGAGTGAGGAGTGAGGGGCGACGAGTGACAAGTGGGATGCGAGTTATGAGTTGTGAGTAACGGAAAAGTACATAAGATACTTGTACTTCCCTACTTGTTCAACGTTGAACACAACTTGTCCTACAAGAAAGGAACGAGCCGAATAATCTTCTCTGCTAATCTTTTTCCCTTTTGAAAATCTGAGGTTTTCTATATACTTCTGAGGGATATTCCAAGATTTCCTGCAAGCCGCCAGAAAACTGTCATAACCTGCTTTAGCACTTTACAATTTCCTAATCACTATATATAGCCCCCTCTCAGTTAACATTTTCTCTCTTTAAGAACGATGGCACCTATAGCTCCCCAAACCGTCGATATCATCTTCGCCGGCGGCGGCACAGCTGCGTGTGTCTGCGCCGGTCGTCTAGCCAAGGCAAATCCAGATCTACGAATCTTACTTGTCGAGGGCGGCAAGAACAATTTCCAAGATCCGAGTATTACTACTCCGGCCGTGTATTTATCTCATTTGGCACCGGAAAGTAAGACTGCTTTGGTATGTTATCCCATCTCTTTTCTATTTTTGGGGGCCCAGTATTGCCGATAGTTTGGACTGCAATTCATTTAAAATTCTAGTTTTGAGATTGTAAAGAAGGAACTGGATATTCCAAAGCTTTTGATTGTTGAGCTGCGGTCTGGACATTTGGACGCCGAGAGTCGAAGGTGGAAGAAGGAGAATGATGGTAATCTATATATACTGACATCAAATAGTTTTACAAAGGTCAACCTTCCCAGCACCTCAACAATCGCTCCCCAATTATCCCAGCCGGAGGTCTCCTTGGTGGCGGCTCATCCATAAATTTCATGATGTACACGCGAGCCCAATCTATCGATTTCGATTCTTGGGATACAGAAGGATGGACCGGAAAAGACATGCTCGAAATGTGTAAGAAATTGGAAACATTTCATCCTACCGGAAAGGGATTTGACAAAGAGAAACATGGATATGAGGGACCTGTGAATGTGAGCGATGGTGGATATCAGGGGAAGAGTGTTGATACCTTCATGGAGACGATCAAAGGGATGGGGTATAGGGAAATTGTAGATTTGCAGGATGGAGAGGAGTGTGGAGGGTTTAGTGTAAGTTTCCTTTGCATTTTCTATCATGTATTTTCTTTTCGTTCAAAATATTGACATCATCTCCTTTCTATAGAGATGGCAACGCTACGTCTCTCCAGACGGCAAACGCCAAGACGCAGCACACACTTACATCCACCCACTCCTTCAATCATCTTCATACCCAAATCTTAAAATACTCCCCGAATCGAAAGTCGTACGTGTGCTGTTTGATTCCTCTATACCTCCTCGAGCAACAGGTATAGAATACATACCCAATGAAGACCATCAACCCTTTGTTGCACTTAGTAAAGCAATTCCACACACAATCAGAGCAGAGAAATTAGTGGTTGTGAGTGCAGGAGCCTTGGGGACACCGCAGGTCTTGGAGAGGAGTGGGGTAGGCAGGAGAGATGTGCTTGAGAGATGCGGAGTAGAGGTTGTTAATGAATTAGATGGGGTGGGCGAGTCATATCAAGGTGAGCAGAGCCTATTCAATCCCGTGGTTTTTTCAGGGATAGTCGCTAATTATATCTTGTGAATAGATCATCATTTACTTTTGTATCCTTACAGAACATCACTCGATGATTCTGAAACCATAGACAACATCTTGAGTGGAAGGAAAGATTTTGTCAAATCACTTGAAGCCAAAGACCCTCAATTGGGCTGGAATGCAGTTGGTAAGTCCTGTTACAACTCCAAGTCTTGCCTTCAAAATTGACAAAGGCCCTTAGACGTATGCAGCAAACTCCGTCCCACTACCTCCGAAGTCGAAGCTCTCGGTACCGACTTCGTCTCAGACTGGGACCGAGACTTCGCTCCCTATCCCACAAAGCCTCTCATGCTCTGCGGCGTCGTGAGTACCTTTCTAGCAGACCCAACACTTGTCGATCCAGGCCAATATATAACCATGTGCACCTACACTGCCTACCCCTATTCACGTGGTTCCATCCACATCACGTCTTCTACTGACGTACAGAATGGCTATGAATTTGACGCTGGCTTTTTAAGTCACCCAAGTGATTTGAAGAAACAGCTTTGGGCATATAAAATGCAACGAGAAATATGTAGACGACTTCCCTATTACCGTGGGGAATTAGAACTGGGACATCCAAAATTTGGAAAGAAATCTGCTGCAGCATTATCTAATGGGGCACTTGAGGGAGAAATAAAGGATATAGAATATAGTGCAGAAGATGATGCACTTATTGAAGATTGGATCAGAGATAATCTGAATACAACATGGCACTCGTTAGGAACATGTGCGATGAAGCCGAAAGAAAAAGGGGGTGTGGTAGATAAGTATCTAAATGTGTACGGGACGCAGGGATTGAAGATTTGTGACCTGAGTATGGTTCCGGAGAATGTGGGTGCAAATACCAATAACACTGCTCTAGCAGTTGGCGAGAAGGCAGCTGTTATTATTGGGAAGGAGCTGGGGATCGAGGTTTGAGGTTTAGGGTTCGAGTTCCACAGAATGTGTGGGGGATTGAGGAGTTGGGACGGCTTTTGGGGACGCGAGTAAGTAATTGGCTTGTAAGTCTTACGTTATTATGATCAATGAGATGTTTGCGCTAGGAGTTAATTCATCTAAATAATGAAACACTATTTATACCTTTATCTACCTGTTATCCCTAGCCAGAGTCAAAAGCACTATCACGCTTACATATAAGTGCCACTCTCCATAAACCCACACCTCTATGAAGAAAATCCAGAACCTCCATCTCGGAGCTCATATACATACCTAACTTCGTACATAGGTATGTAGATAAATATACATAACTTACAACAAAAACCCCAAATATCACACCGCAAGCCAATCTCCCACAGACACTTACTTATCTATCACAATCAACCACCAATCATAATCTTTGGCTATTTGCCTCCCTACTACAAATACCTAGGTAGTACCTGTGTGACAAGTGCAAATAGCCCCTTAAATTCAACCCCGAACGCAGCATAGCGCCTCGACATTGTGCATCCATTCACACACAACTCTGTCCCCTCTAAACTTGAAACAAACCGACTTGCTCTCACGGTCACCAACAAACTGATTCACCTAGACACTGAGATTGGGATCGCTTCACATTTCACATCATGTCATATCATATCAGATCAACATCAACATCAAGATCAAGATAAACCCCACATATCATGCAATACAATACAAAGCCCATGTCTCGCGGAAAAAGTCTCGAATATTGCCTTGCCTGTCATAATAAAATGTAAAAAGAATCTCGATGCCATCAATAAGTAGCGTCGAAAAATAAGGTTCAGACCCAAATAAGGAAAACCGTGCATCAATAAAAAAGGAAATAAAAACAATGACAAGATCCATCCCCCGAAATTCCTCCCATTTCACGCCAAATGTTTCACAACTGGGTTATGTTCCCTCCGTCCATCAGCCATTAAAGTTATCTATTTCCCCTCTTCCTTCCTTAGCGTCATTGGTGCAAAGATTTGCTATGTGATTTTGCTGCGATGCTTTGCTAGCGGAGGCAGCGAAAGACAGACGAAATACAGAGGCCGATCCAAGGGACCATCAGTCTAATGCGGATAATAAAAGGGAAGCAGAAGTTCGTGACGTTCTAGGTTCTTCAATAACCTAGATTGAGTTCGACCGATCGACAAATGACACCATCTAACAACATCCACCAGCAGACCCCGATTGTACTCCCTGGCCCTGCCCGACTTGTACCGCTGGCTTATTGTTTGCGGTAGTTGTGCCAATTCTTTCCTTAATTTGGCGTGCCATGGTCAAGAAAGCTTGCTCGACGTTGCTGGCATTCTTGGCGGAAGTCTCGAGGAATGGGATGCCGAGGCTGTCAGCAAATTCCTAAAACAATGCATGTTAGTCGCAATTTTCTAAGGAAATCTGATGGAGCCTGATTAAAGATTCCAGATGGTTGAGAGCATGTGATGATATGTACCTTTGCGACGGTGTAGTCCACGACCTTCTTGTCTGACATATCGCTCTTGTTGCCTACAAGCAACTTGTTGACGCCCTCTGTTGCGTATCTGTCGATCTCTTGTAGCCATTGCTTGACGTTGTTGAACGAGTCCATGTCGGTCACATCGTAGACAACGCAGATACCGTGAGCACCTCGGTAATACGAGGATGTGATGGTACGGAAACGCTCTTGTCCAGCGGTATCCCACTACAAAGTAAAACTATCAGTACAATGCCTCCACATTATTCTCTTTCGGGTTTCCTTACAATTTGTAACTGGACGGTCTTGCCGTCCAACTCAATCGTGCGGATTTTCTACATCGCCATCAGCAAATAATACTTTGTGAACCGGGAACTGCAACACCCACGAAGTCAACACCAATAGTCGAGATGTAACTCTCGGTATAAGTGTCATCTGCGAATCGCAATAACAGACAGGACTTTCCTACACCGGAGTCACCGATAAGGAGGAGCTTGAAGAGGTAATCGTATCTATTAAGTTCGTCAGTCGGAGTCCGTTCAGGATATACATGTTGACGTGGACCACTCGAGTGCACTCTATGCGATGGTAATGGCATCTTCGTGATGAGGGGTATGTATAATGTACTCTGCAAATAGCATGATCAGTATTGGGTCTTGGGAGATATAATGTAGATGGCGGTTTCTTTGAAGTTGATGAAAGGATGACGTTTGATCTGAGGGGTTTCAACTTACTACTCGGGATTCATATTTGCGGTTGGTTGTTGAAAGGTATGTTGTTTTGTGTGGAAATTCTATGATACCTCTTGGTTATCCTTTTCGATGTCTTGTGGTTGTAGTTGTAGAATAAGATATCGCAACTCTTGGGAACCTCAACTGTGTTTAAGGTGCAGAGGCGGTCCACGGGCGTTAGACGAGTATCACGTGAATCAGAATTGGCCGGGATTACTTGGCTAAGGATGGTGGTGATACTTGGTACAGCCTTGGAAGATGGAGGAGGCGTTTGCAGGTGAATGTCTCTACTCGTATATTATTCAATTTATATCTTTAATCTTATTATATGCACAAACACACAATGGAAGAATCAGATGCAATAATCTCATTCTTACACGTATTGGATACTTGGGACTATTTATTCTCTTTTCCTTTACACCGTTTGCTTGATTCAAAAACGCTGAATGATTCAAACCAATATACGATAATGTGATTCTTTTATTGTTTCTGCGGTTTCTTGTTTCTTGTGATTCATTCAAACTCCTGATCAACTGACCCCCTGACCGCACCGCTTTGTACCTATCTGATCGGCAATCAGCAGCTTGTAAGGCCGATTGATAAAGCTTGAATATCACTGGATGAGGGAATGAATATGGATATCAAAAAAAGTGGTAGAAACCAATTATCATGACGATGGTTGCAACTCTTACTTTTTCTTCTTGACCTTATTGAATGTATTGATTGATGTCTTTGCATATGAATGCGATCCATCCAAGCTGATGTCGAAATCTTACAGTATCCTACGCCTTACTAGAAGACGGGCCTCGAAGTTCTCCTCTACTTCTTCAACATGCCAAACGAAGCTTGCCACTACATACACATGTCAGAAAAGTGCTCGATGTCTAGCAACTGTCAACGCAGGACCTAGGGTCCTACCGGATATCTGGTTCACCGGCTCAAATCCTCGGAATGAGGATTCACCACCAAAGCCTCCCAACAACGAGAGAACAGTCAAACTTGGCAAAAGCAAGCAGCCCCTCCCCCCGCTCCCCCCTCAATTTATTCACCCACTTACAAACAATATACTAACAAATCTCAGCCCTCCGCATTCTCCAAGAACGTCTTCCTTCCCTCCTCCAATCTCCACTTCCCCAAGAAATACTCTCCCCGCAAATAACCCTCCACCTCTTCCCCTCCACGCACCCCCATCTCCCCACTGTCTCCGGCCGCGTCGCATATTCCGCCGCTCTATGGACATCTCCTATTGCCTGGGGTCGCGTTCCCCTCGTCGGAAATGTGAAGCTTGAAATACTTTCTGAGCGAATGAGCCAATCGTCATCTAGAGGATCAACTCGCGAACAATTAATCGTACGATGGAGGACCATTGGTAAGACAAAAAACAAAGGAACAGGAGGTTTTTACAAAGGGATTGGGGCGCGAGAGAATGTGGATAAGATTACAGAGTGGTTGGGGGGTGGAAGTGGTGAGGACGATAGTAAGGAATTTACTGGACTTTTCCTCTTCGAATTCGATGAAGAGGGAAGGATCTGGTCGCATACTATTGAGCACGTTCAAGAGGGGGGAAATTGGGAAAGAGGTGTAGGGGCTAAAGTCGTTGGGTTGACGGATTGGCTTTTGGGCGGGATGAAGAACGGAAGAGGTGACGAGGGGGCTCCTTGTCCGGCCTTTTGGGTGCATGAGCAAAACCTGGGGAGGCGATGAGAGAATGAAGGCGCAATTGTATTATATATGGGGTGAAGATGATTGACATGGGACATGAATTGATTTAGCGTATTGGTGTTCGGACAAAAAGACATGCTTGGGACTTTGTAAGAATATTGGACGTAAACACCCTCTCAATGAAGTAATGAAACAAATACTGGAAGTCCCAGCCCTTAGCTGCTATTCGTTAAGTTTGCTCGATGTCTAGATATGTCAGAGATAATGCGAGTTGTATTTAAAATGAGATTTATGCTTTATGCTATGAGCCAGCATCTACGTGATGCACGACTCAAGCTACTTCCTTCTCAATAGTACCATTCATTTCATCCTGATTTCTCATACAACTGTGCCGAAAAAGCTAGAAATGAAATATCCTATGCAGGACCATCAAGACCTTCGCTAAATATTCCAAATATACTACAAAGTCGTGCCCCACAAGCCCAACCCTATGTGCATTCCTTCTCAAATGCTTCAAGAAGAACCTACAGCCAATATTTCGTTAGCCACTTTGTAATCACGAGTCTGTTCGAATCCACATCCCACTTACCGAAGAACTCATGATCATCCATCGAACCAAAGATGGGACTCTTTCCTAACTTCATCGCCGTCACTCTCGGAGTAGAGATACCAAAAGCTACTCTAGCGAGGAACCTTGGATCATCGCGCTCTTCAATCATATTAAGAACGTTGTTGAAAGCTATAGTATTGAAAGGAACAGGAGGGGGAAGTTGAATCTCGACGGGCTTATGTGTTAAGCACCATTGACAATGACCGCATTCTTCCTTTCCGTCAGGCAGCTCATCTCCGAAATGCTGGGCCAATTTTTTGGAAAAACAAGCCTTACCGGTGATAAGCTGTAAGATTTTCTCTGAGCGCTCTAAAGCTTGCTTTTCGCGTGTTTCCATGCTGCTGTAAATTGTCTTTGCGATTGTCTCAATCTCCTTTGCGGTTTTGGGAAGAGGTTTAGTGACTTTGTAGACATTTACAACCTGGCTTGCTTTTAATTCTAGAATTCCTTCGGCGTTCCATGCGTTAAGCTTGCCAATGACCTCGTTTCTTCCAAGGCTATAACGACGAGCTGCAGCGTCTACATCGATGTGATGGAACTTAGATTTTTTCTCTCCACAGGCTGCGATCGCTGCTGCTGCTGGACTTCGATCTGACTTGATTTTGGAATGATACATGCGATCGTTTGCAACATACGAATATTTCTGATATAATGGTGTAGTAGCACGAATAAGACCGTGGCCCAGCTCTAATTGTGCATATATACCACCTAGAACTGTGGGGCGGATATCGAATTCCTTCGTTTGATTATAATGCGAACTGTGTATCTCACCTCCTATTGGAAGCCTTTTCGCAGTTGAATCAAATATGTCGTTTAGTAGTCCACGAATGGATGTAAGAGATGGTAGGTCACCTCGTGCGAATAATTCACGGAAATGAAGATCCTCGCCACATATGAAGAAGAAACAGTTAGAAATTATCCCATCTCGACCACTTCTTCCAATTTCCTGACCTGTGCAAATATCAGCATGAAGAGCTTTGGCATTTGCAATCATCAAGTAGTACGGAGAAGTTTCTACTTCGAAACTGAGTAGTAAAAATGAGGTGTGGATCTTGGTAGCTTTGAGGGTAAACCTGAACATAGTAGAGATCTAGATGCAGCGGCTGGGGTGGTAACAGCTAGGATTTCAATGATAAAAGTTACTAACTGTAAGATTCCAGACTTTGAGGGACACTGAAATGTATAACATTGCGAATAGAGCCCTTATCAATTCCCATCCCAAAAGCAATAGTTGCGACCATAATCATGTCATTGCTCCTCATAAAATCGTCCTGCAGCTTTGTCTTGGCTTCAGTCGTCATTCCTGCGTGGAATGCGTTAGCTTTGAAGCCCGCCTCTACCAATATATTTGCAAGATTCTCCGTTTGCTTCTGCAAAGTAACATATATGATAGTTGAGCCTTTATGCTTTCGTAAAAAGTCTATAAGCTTGGGCAGCATAGTAACCTTCCTATCTCCTGACTCAGCCAATAAATGTAGATTAGGTCGATAGGTGGAGGTTCGAAAGAGTCCAGAATCTTCGATTTTGAACGCATCACAGATGTCTTGCGCAACACGGGGTGTAGCCGTAGCAGTTAAGCAAATGACTCTCTCTGCTCTGATCTCATCAGCAAAACGGGCAATTTCTACATATACCTAGTCAGTAGATGATGCATTTCTGGTAGAGTTTGAGGTACAACTTAGGTAGTCTGGACGGAAACTGTGGCCCCACTCGCTGATACAATGTGCTTCGTCTACTGCAAGTAATCTGATACCTCCCCGGACATATTTCATTTGCTCCACGAAACCCTCATTGTTCAGCCTCTCAGGTGCTACGTATAGTAACTTTAACTTTCCACTTCTCAGTTGGTTGCATGTTTGAATAAAGTCTTCTCTAGTCTTGCTCGAGTCGAAAGTTGCAGCAGCAACACCGCGACGAACAAGAGCATCCACCTGATCTTTCATCAAAGCTATGAGTGGCGATACTACCAGGGTAACTGCATATCACTAAAATTAGTATTCTTTTCAAAATGTAAATGAAATCAAAGAAGAATCCATGAAACCGAAGCTTCATTTGAGGTGGTCTGGTTCATTTGTTCATAAGATGTTGAATAAGAATTCCCGCATAGCACTCTTAACTTTTACTCACTGCCATGTTCGCCTTCATCACGAGTCCTGAGAATCTTGTCTTCTTCTTCAAAAGCAAGTGCCGGGACTTGAAAGCAGAGACTCTTGCCACCTCCAGTAGGAAAGACAACAACGGCACTATCGCCACCAAGAATTCTTGATATGGCTTGCTCCTGCTTCAACCGAAAAGATTTGAAACCAAAGTGGCGACTCAGTGCAGACGTTGCCGACTCAAATACCTTGTGGGAGCTCTGGATTGCCTGTCTCTTGAAAATCGACGAAGTCTGCTCGGGAGAAGCTTTACGCTTGTGGCCATGGTTGATGCTAGCATCGACCGCGTTTGTCAAGTCTAGCATGTCTGCCTCGTCGCCAGAGCTGAAGCCATATTCATCAATTTCAGTTGAATTTTCCATGATATGTGTATGGGATAATCTTAATTGCTGTTTTCTTTTCGTCAAAGCACGAGAGGAACCAAACCTTTGCAAAAATCGCATTTTCAATACTGTCGCTGTAAATAAATAAAGTATTCAAGACCGGCGGCACTCCGTGTTTGCCTTTCGCGCGATCACATGATTAGTGGATCAAGCCTGATAAATCTTTCAATATCCAGTTTGAATTCAGACATTGAGGAGAGTGATGAGATGGGATCTAATAGATACATTTCGTACACTTGGTGGTTACTCAACTACAACTTTAGTAAGAAAAATTAGGTAAAATTGCTAACATCCTTAATCGATGACTATTCATGCCCTGTTATGGTTGTTTCAACAATATCTGATATTCCAAATTGTATGTGTACGACCCCTTCCTATTAATAACAATAGGAGAAGTCTATTCCGACACCATATCTTACGCAGATATATTCTAACGCCCTTCCTTAAACAGTCCAAATACCGTATATATGTACACTCCAGCAAAGCCATAACTTACAATCAGATCCATGTTCCAAGAGCACCACAGGTCTACCTCGATAACCGAGGACTATATTTACTTCACAGCCACTTTGGCAGGAAGGTTTCTTCTCAGCCTGATGGTTTGTTCATACAAAACGTCCTTAAAGGCGAACAAAAATGCAGCAGTCATAACACTTTGTGAGACTTTGGGAGCAATCCCTGAAGTAAAGTCAGTAACAAGCCTCGTAATAATTTCAAAAAAAAGGTATCGCTTACCTTTATAAAATCCAGCGTAGCCCTCTTCTTTCAAAATACGTCTCATGCCTTGAATCATACTTTCCTTTCCTCCATCTCTTCCGGCAACGTGCATGCGACTTTTTACTGTGATGTAAGGGTATGTGATTGAAGTAGCAAATAGCTTTCCTAATGCGCCTAGAAGGAATGCCATTGTTGGGGTGATTCTCTTCTTCTTCTCGATTGCATTCTTTAACTGCTCGAAAATCGTATATTGTAATATGGGGTTGATAACAAGCACCAAAGCAGGCACGACTCCAGAGAAAAGCGCTTGTGGGCCTTCTTCTTTAATGAGTGCAAGCAATGTGCCGACTGTTGTAGGTGCCTTTGCCCCAGGTAGAAAGCCCTCACCCGTCTCCTTGTTTCTCTTTCGTGTAGTCATTCGTGTATTGACTACCCAAATAGGATTTGTGAGCAAGACTGTTGCTGAGCCTGCGATTGCTCCCGCGATCATCGATTCGATTGTTGTGAGCTTTTTTGAAGCTCGGCCAGCCTTGAGTGCCGCCTTCTCGAAACCCGAACGAGTCCATTCATACCAGTAGTAATATACAAAATTTGTAACACTGATTCCAAATAGTGCTGAATCGAGTCCAGCATAAAGGCCTGTAATACCTTCACGCTCGATGATACGCTTTACAGCGTCAAGAAATCCCGAATCAGCGCGTTTCGATTCGACTTGTGCGCGCGTGGAAAGCGTAATAAGAGGATAGCTTCAAATTGTTAACTTTTGAAATGCGGAGAAGGATAGGGGTCTAATACGTAAGAGCCATGGAAAGAATGCCCCCACCAGCACCGGATAGAGCATGAGCAACATTATCTGATTGTTGAGCTGCCATGATTGTTTTGTGTAGGTATATGTGATGTCGATGACGTTCTGATATTGAAAATAAGGAGTGTAAGTTTATTATGGAGAAATCCAGATTGGAAATATGATATGAAAGACGTGAAGAATGAAGAAAGATGAATTATTATTATCCTCCTCAATACCGGTACCTAGGTAGTTTTGTCCTCTCGCTGCATCAGATGTGCATTGTCAACTTACATACCGGTACCTACCTATCAAAGGCCATTTCCGACTTACCGAGGCAATGCGGGCCCCCCCTTGCATTGTCCCGGAGATTCCCCACCTCAATTTAATTAATACTGACACGTGCTTAGGTAGCATTCTCATTCACGTGCCGATGATCTATTCTTGCATGTGATTAGTAATCATTCGGCTTGGGAAAGCAAAGCTCAATCAGATTAAACTTCACTTCAAACTTAACATCAATTTATTTCTCCTCATTAACAATTATTTGGTTCCAAAGTAATTATCATCGATTATTCATCATTCTTGTCAACGCTAAATATATACCCCCTTTTTGTTTAATTTATCGCGAAAATATATCTAAACTTTTGTCATTAGTTATATAGCATATATACCCAACGTCGTTCGTTTCTATCGTTAAAATCATTTGTCTCTCTTTTCAACTGTCAATTGGAGTACCGGTAGGGAGAAAGGGGAAACGTGTCTTTCATTAACAGCTTTTCCTTTTGGGGTGTATATTTCAAATATTAGAAGTAAATCTCATTATATCTATCTATCAAGTCATCATATTATAGTCAAATTTCTCATATATTTTCTTAAAACTACATATTTTCATTACTTGTATCAGAAATTTAGCCTGGGTCATCTGATAATTCAAAAGTGGGAGAATGCTCCCAGTCCTTCATGTCTCTGCAATGACCCCTGAAGCTACAAAGCGTAGTAAATATGCCACGATTGCGCCTCAAGGAGGTGAACAATATATTCAAGCCCACAATCAAGCATCATGTGCAAATGTTCAGGATAGAGTGATGCCTGAGCGTCCGGGACAGCCTTCGCCGCTGGGCAATTCATCTCCAAGTCGCCAGAATTCTCGAAGTCTACCTTCGAGAGAAGTTACAGACGAGAACTTTGACGATGCCTACGTAGGCTTCATCATGTACTGCAATCCCGCGGTGGCATCAGATACAGATACTGCTGAATTGAAGCGAATATTTCGCGCGCCTCCCAAAAGTGACAACAAAAGTTTCAGCACTTTTGTATTATTCGAATTGATTTGTAAATTAGAGAATAAGGAGATCAAAACGTGGGCACAATTGGCAATAGATTTGGGAGTTGAACCTCCTTCTTTGGAGAAAGGTCAGAGTGCTCAAAAGGTACAACAATATGCTGTTAGGCTCAAGGTATGCAAGTGGATCTCAGACACTCGTCAATGTAACACTAACAACATTTAGCGGTGGTTGCATGCAATGCATGTTGATGCATTTTTTGAATATTTATTGAACAAACCTCATGTGTATTGGACACAAGTACCATCCCCTGGCGAATCACCATCAGAGCATGGTCGAGATGGGGTACCCGCCGATGAAGATTTGGCTCTCCGTGCTTTGCTTCCGGAAACAAGACCTAAGCGTGGACGAAAGAAGGCCGAGGATAGGGAAGATGATGAGATAGGGAGATCACCATCTCAACGTCCTCGGTTACACTCGCCTACACTATCTGAAGATTTTATGATTCCCAGGGCGACCTTACATCCGGATAGTGCTACACCAGCGACAGCAAATTCTTCTTTCCAACAGGGCTTCGATGCTCGTTTAAGTCCATGGTCTGCAACAGAAGTTCGAGGCCCTTTAGTGGACAACTTCAGATGGGGTGCTCCACCAGAAAGTGCAACTCCTCTATCAGCTTATCCACAATCAGCTCTCACTCCATCAAACAGAACACACCTATGGCCGGATAGCAATGAACCTCAATCAGCCACAACGCCGAATAAATCTCGGTCAAGGCGTCGTCATGGGCCTGCAGTATCATCAGCATGGCCAAGTAATGGTAGTGCCTCTACTGGAAAATTACGAGGTAGACCACCTAATAACCGTTCTGTTACAGATGGTCCGTTTTCGACCTTTCCTGCCAATCCTGGTTCAACAAGAGATACACCAACCGCTACTCCTATAGTGGCAGATTCCGAGATTTCTCATTTCTTTCCTGCTGGTGTCAGGGCCACTCCACCTACTGTCATTCCACAAACTCAAAATTCTCGACCAAGCCGACTTTCGCTACAAGTCCCACAAAGAAAAGGTGGAAACGTTCGATTAGCAACACCGCCACCACCCGTTGTACTTCTAAACGGTGAGACCGATACGAATATGCAAAATGATTTAATTGAACAATCTCAACAAACGTCACTCATGGAGTATTTCAACAATCCTGCCAATGGACCTCAAGACCCCAGTTTCGAACACTTTGTCAGTATAGCATTTCGTCAAAATGAAGATTTTGACCGTACCAATATCGATGCTTTAGAATCTCACTTCATTGGAGAAATTCTTGCCGCCGAATGGTACGACGGAGCCGGAAATTCGATCCAACGATGCTCTATAGACGAAGCATCCAAAATCTGCAAACAAGTCATCCGAAATCTTCAAGCGGAATCTAGCAGCACAGAAGCTTTCCTTATTAATCTTTCAGCACTGGCAGGCGGTCCCCTCATGACACGTCTTCGCGTCACAAGACTTGAATTCCCCGGCCCGCCACCAAGAACGGATTACGAATGTCATTGGAAAATGAGATTTGGTAGCCTTGAAGGGGATTTTACGATAAGAGCTACAGTTGTGGAGAATAACCTGGAGATGGGAATGAGGGAAGGAATGGGAAATATGGGGAGAGGAATCGATGACAATGAAGAGAGTTGGAAGGCGAAGTATCTCAGTTTGCAACAGCAGATTAAGGAGAGAGATGCGAAGGTTATGAGGTTGAAGAGGGGAATGGTCGATGCGTTGGTTATTAGTGAGGAATGGATTAAGGGAGGTAATGTCTTTCAGAATCAGGGATAGTGGAGGTAGCACCAAAAGGTTGACAAAGTTTAATAAATCGAGGCAATATTCTGTTTGAGGAGTTCAGAAGGACATTTCGGTCACTAGAGGGGTTTGTTCTAGTATGGTGGTGCTTGAAGTACATATATTTAGCATAAATTAGATATCCACAAGGCAGAGTTCAAGATATACTTTCACTGAAAAACTTCAGAGCCAGTTCGTCAATTTAAAGAACGAGAATATATGATGATAAAAATGTCTTTTGTACCCGGGGGTATGGAAATATGTGACCAAAATTGTCATTGGTACCCACCCCCCCGGTCAGTAGATATGCAACAAAACTTTATAGTGCGGTGCGAATGAGTGAATGAGATATTCACGTGATAAAACATTTCTTCCTCATCCAATGGCTACTCGTCCTCTAATCACCGATTAGGTTTCTCGACGTCGATCTCGCATTACCTACCTATGTTATAGCTATATAACACGGTCTCGCAGAATCGTCCACGCCGCAATCCAAAGTTGATGAGAGGTGAGAGATTCCAGTTATATTCTTAGAGATGTCTTTATCGTTGACTTTGTATTTTCTTTTTAGAGAGGTAATAATCTATCACTATGTCAATTGGTATGTGTATTTTGGTGTGTATTGGAGGTGTACTGAGTCTTCTGCTTATATTAGATTTTCTCATCCCGAAAATCCGTTTTCATACTCTCTATCTCTGGCTCGGAATCTCTGGTTCGGATAATGAGAATATACATGCTGCGCTATTTAAGATTTGTGCCTTTTACCATCCTGCCGATTCATCTTTAGGTTTTTCTCGGAGATCAAGATAGGTCGTGGATTTGAGAGGGGAGATTTGTGGGATAGTAATGTTCCTATTGTTTTACTCTTATTTTCGATGGGATGATAGGGTGTATGGTTTTGATTTGTGATCTTGTGGAGTTGTGGAAACGGAGATTGTATTGAGAGTTAGGTGGAAAGCGTGGAGTAGGAGTGAGGATGTTGGTTGAGAGAGGGAGATTGAAGTATATTGGGATAGAGATGATTGGATTGCGTTGGCACGGTACACAGCGGTGCATGTTAAGAGGAGTGAGGATACGAGTCTGATGCGAGTTTGGATATGGGGATCGGGCCCTGTTAGAGTTATTCCAGGTGATTTGCAGCGCGAAAGAGAGACTTGATACGATATCTGGGAAGTGCTGGAAACTAAGTTGTTCTTTTCCTGTAGCTGTTTATCCGACGAGACGATTAGGAATGAAGCTTTGATAGTCGTGGGAGAACATTTGGGCTTTCGGAGGAGAATCCCTGAAGGATTTTAGAATGTATCCTAGTTGGTTTCAAGCTACTTTCTCGAAGATTCAAGCAGGAAAGTTGAAGGCCGATGCGGGATCGCCTTTACTCGCTGGTGGTGTTCTTTGCAGGAGTGTAGGACCTGATCATAGTATTTTGATTTGCAATAGGAAAATCAAAGTTCATTATTTGAGCTTGGGTGGGAGAACTTTCTAGAACTAAAGGGCGAAAATATAGAATCGATTTATATAACACCTGTCGTACATTTCCTGACCCGAGACAAGAGACAGAGAGAGTACGTGAGGAAATAAGCGAACAATGTAAAAAAGGCGATCATCCTCCTAGCTCTTTTGATAGATGACATCGATACCTACGTGCTAGAAGACTGGCTAGACGGGAAATTGAAACATCAGGATCTCAACTTGAGTATCCCGACCACGCAGTTGAGGGCCAGAAAAGAAGATCAGAAGAGATTTTTTAGAGGAAGTTTTGCGGCGATGATGATGGGTATGGCATGCCATAGAGTGAGTAATAGATTGAGACCGGAACTTATGGGTTTCAAAGCGGTATGGAGAGGTGATGGGCTTGGGGGGAAATGGTCGGTGTGGATGAAGGATGAGAGGCTTAAAGAGAGGGAAATGAAGTAGGTGGAGCTCTCTGGGGAAGGAGGTTGATTGATACTATTGTTGGATGAAAATCGTTGTGATGAGAATGGATTGTGCCTTACTGATTCGACTTTTTTCATTCTCGAAATTTGAACTCACATGAAGCATTTGAGTTGTTTGAGAGATTTCATCCATTTCAGATATTCAATCCGTATCACAATCACATAGCCAAAAAGTGCCACTTGTTAAACAGGTGTGTTGTACTGATATATAACGCAAGCTTCTTCCAAAGGGCGAAAAGAGTGAATTCCCCCAATCTTTGAGATTTTGGGAATTATTGATCAAGCAAAATATAAACAAAAATGTACCAAGAATTTCTTGATAAAAATGGGGACATACACCCTACCTCTCTCTAAAACTCTAAACCTCTCCTTATACTTCGGAAAGAGGCATGTTTCCGCAAGCCGAAAATGACGCAGGAATCACCTAAAACAATTCTCCGATGAATTTAAACTTTCAAATCGCTCGAATATGCTCTTCTCTCCCGTCCTTGAAAACCATAGAGATCCTGGGTATATGACTTTAACCCCCAATTTTCTGAGGAGACACACACTTCCCGGTTTCAATATACGAAGGTCAGAATATGTGTGGATGAGACAGCATGATTTCTGTTACGATGATTATTAATCTTGCCGTCGCCGCGGTATTTAGAGGGGTAAGAAGGGAGGGAGTGTATTAATAGAAGATGAAAATATGGATGTCTGCATAAGCATGAATCATGATGGTTTTTGGTATGAAGTGTTGTAGAAAGATTTGATTTGTAAGAATGGACAAGTACCTAAGCAGATACTCGATATCTTTGAGTACCTAGTCAATGCATTCATTATAACCCTTCTTGATGCGAAGAGTTTTTGCTCTTGGCTCTTTCTTCCGTTTAATGCTAAATATTACCGAATCATTACCGATGAGAAGCTAGGGACTGTACTCCATAGTCGCTGACTCTCGAAAACGATTAATTGTCATGTTTTTAATTAGTTACACTTCTGTCTATATCAGTTGATAGCTCTAATACAAAGGAGCTTGAAGATGTTTGAATATCGTGGGAATTATTGTTTGTTAATTTTATATTGAATATATGATGGTTTGAGTAATTTCATTACTGTATATCTTGATTTGTTGGAATTGTATATGATTACTTATCTCATTACATTTTCTATTTATATTAATGACTTTCCCTGAGTCAAAGACATCGATTAGCATAGAATAAAAGTATAATCAACAGAGAATACTTCATCTATGAGAGTCAATAACTACAACTAGTCACCCACTTGAAGAGCCAACCATTAGTAAGAGTTCTGGAACCTACTCACCGCACATGTAACGCTTTTCCGGCTAAAATATACGATTATTCAGCTTTTTACACCCTGGTTTATTTATAAATATATAAGATAAAATTGAAGATAGTATTATGTAAAGATTTATAATTACTTGAATTATCTAAAAAAACATATGATTTATTTTTAAATATTTTTATAATAGTATTTTTGAGGGGTTGAAGTTGGAAATTCGAAAATTTTCTAGAAATTCGCTTATTTTGTATAGGAAAAGCATTACAAGTTAAAAATTCTGAACTTTTCAATTAAAAACTCATATAACTTTTCAATAAAAATATTTCAAAATAAATTAGAAATTTTTATATATAAATAATGATTCATATTATTTATCACAAAGTTTTATAATTTAATATTAATAATTATATCAGTTATATGATATTTTAGTTTATATAGAAAAACATGAATTTTGCAGGGATTATGTCACAAAACATCACGGTGTGCGGTAAGTATATTCGATAACTCTTACCTAATAAGTAGCTTTAATTGATACATTGCTCCATCATCACAGCATCTTCTCTCCATGTTGTCAGTAATATATATTCAAATGAACTACACATTCCATAACAACTACCAGGGGCTGTAACTCAGTGGTAGAGTGCCTCGTTTGCATTGTCATATATATCATCAGATGTGCTTGACTAGTATCGATGAAGTCCAGGGTTCGACTCCCTGCCGCTCCAATATCATTTTACACTTTTTTGCATTCTTCTATCTCCAAAATTGAAGAAGTTGTCGTGTTGGTGATGAGCAAGTTATTTTTTTTGGAGGCTCATGTAGCGGGGTGGGAAGACGGGTCGCTGCTTTTACAAATGGGGTAGTAGGTGCGTCGTTTATTGCTTCTCCTTTTTAATGACCCTCTTTCAAATAACTTATTCATCTGGAAAATTCGAGAAACAAGTAGTATCTCAAAATCAAAGGATTCGATAAATAAATGATAATAAATCAAGCAACTTTGATAGTCACCTAGTACGCACGTAGGCGATGCAATCTCAACCCGCATTGAGCTTAAATTATAAAATCTTGCTAGCGCTTTTCGAATTTTCCAGATGTATAAGCATTATACGGAGTAAGGGTTTTGGGGAAGATAGGAAATCCACTTTTCCTTCCAAAAACCTTGGCACTTTTACAACGCAAGGAAATTGTTTGATGTTGGGGTCCTTGGGGAATGTCTTCTTGCTTTCTGAATTGTCATCAGTCTCGTAAAACATCTTCCCATGGCTTACATAATTCTGGTACCCGGTCGGATGTCGGCAGTTGAGAATCAATTGCCTTGACAAAACGTCATGAAGTTTTTTTGATTTATAAGCTTTGATGGATCTTCGCTACCGCAACATGGGCAAAAGGTCTTCTCCATCTGTACGGAAAGCTTCAGATCTCTGCAGAAACTATCTCTTCCTGCGAGATCAGAGAACTAGCGACTATCATCATATCATTTCCCCGAACAACCCCCACTACCCTCGGAGATATCTTGGATACATGATACGCCAAACCAACGTGTTCGATACGATTGCTATGGGTTTTCTGGTATGGTAAGCATCAGTAGTGGAATGAGATGATTGCTAGGACCATCTTGCTGAACAATCAACTTACTTGGTTTTTTTCCTATTCATGCGCAACTGCGCGATATTCCCACATATCAATTGAAAGTATAAAGGTAGGTAGGTGGCCTCTTCTTGCTTTCGATTCATTCCATTTCATATCGATTCAGACAAGTATACAAATAGACAAGCAATTGAACCTACAACTACAATTACATACTCATACATACACCAATTACTCGATAATACGACACAAACATGTCTTCCTCCACTCTTTTCACCCCTCTCAAAGTCGGAACTTCCGAGCTCCAACATCGAATTGCCATGGCACCTCTCACTCGATTCCGTGCCGATGACAACCACGTACCCACTCCAATGGTTGTCGAATACTACGCCCAACGTGCTTCTGTTCCCGGCACACTCCTCATCTCCGAAGCTACCTTCATTGCTCCCCAAGCCGCTGGTTATGCCAACCCCCCCGGTATCTGGAGCAAAGAACAAATTGCCGGATGGAAAAAGGTCACCGACGCCGTACACGCAAAGAAATCATACATCTGGATACAATTGTGGGCATTAGGAAGAGCTGCAGACCCATCAAACTTACAAGAAGAAGGTGGCTACAAACTCAAGTCTTCAAGCGATATTGCTTTCGAGGGAGGTGCTAAGCCAGAACCTTTGACCGAGGCCGAGATTAAGGAATATATTGGATTGTACGCACAAGCTGCCAAGAACGCAGTTGAAGCTGGATTTGACGGTGTTGAGATCCACGGAGCAAACGGTTATTTGGTCGATCAATTTTTCCAAGATACAGCAAACAAGCGTACCGACTCCTGGGGAGGAAGTGTTGAGAACCGCGCACGTTTTGGTCTCGAGGTTGCCAAGGCTGTCGTTGCAGCTGTTGGTGCTGAGAAGACTAGTTTCAGATTGAGTCCATTTTCTCCTTTCCAAGGAATGAGGATGGAAGATCCTGTTCCACAATTTACTTATATCGCCCAAGAGCTCAAAAAATTGAGCCTTGCATACCTCCACGTTGTCGAATCAAGAATTACCGGAGATGCAAATGTCGAAGCAACCGAGAAGGTTGACTTCTTGATCGATACCTGGAATGGCACCAGTCCAGTTCTCCTCGCCGGAGGTTTCAAAGCCGAATCTGCAAAGAAGGCTGTTGATGAAGAATACAAAGGAAAGGATATCGTGATTGTATTCGGAAGATACTTCATCACCAACCCAGATCTTCCATTCAGAGTTAAGGAGGGAATTGAGTTCACTCCATATGATAGAAATTTCTTTTATAACAAGAAGGAGGCTGAGGGATATACCAGTTATCCTTTCAGTAAGGAGTTTGAGGCGCAACAAAAGGCCATTGAATCTTCAGCATAATTTTATATATAAAAACATGTTTTTTATAACGCATAGATGGATGGATAGATATATAGATAGATAAATACCCAGTAGACAGATGGAGTGTATTAATCTTATGATGTACTTTTTTTTAACACAATACCAGTCCAGTTGCATTGTGATAGATGATTCAATGAGAAGTACAAATAAGAGCACTAATTATTACGACTGCGAATAAGATAGCCTGCTTGCCACTAGGTAGCTTTGGATTCATCAAAATCTTGTTGAAAACTTGTTGAAAACTTGAAGATTCAGTA